TTTGCTTTTAAGACCTTGGACAGGAATTTTCGATCAAAGGAGTCGTATGCCTGGGCAAAATCGAGAAGTAGCGCTGGCGTTTCTGTTGGAATTATTTCATCGATTCCAAACTGTTGACCGCCTCGTTATAAGATCTACCGGGTACCAACCCGCGCTCTACACATCAACTAAAACCAAAAACATTCTAGCCGCAGTGAAGCGGCGGCGCTTGGCTAGTTTGTTAATAAGTTCAGTCGAAATTAAACTGAGAGAATGAAGTCGAGTAGAGAGAGCCTCCAAGAGCTGGCAATAGAGGGCCAGGGTACGGCTAGCGGGTGACCAAGAAAACTACGCAGACTGTCTACGAAGCGAGTTTCAAGAAGTATTGTAAATTCTGCGTCGCTAACGACTGCCCTGATTCTCGAAACGAGCGCCATCACGAGATTCCAGTCGTATCGATTGCATACTTGCAGAGCATATTGGCCCCCAGTTCTATTTCGCTATAAACAGCCAATAATCCGAGGTCAGCCGTCGCTATCTTCTTTTCCTCTAACGAAAAAGCGGTGGTACCGCTGTCAGCACTTCATGCGCTCGCGAAAACGAAGATGGAGATAAACACGGATATGGAAATTCTGCTAGCGACCCTCCCGTGCGTCAGTCCATGCGTGGACTCAAGAAGAAAAAGGTGTTAGTGTATGTGCTAGCCAAAGCCGTTCCAATATCGTTAAATATGCTTACTCAACACCCAAGATCCAACTACAGGCTGTGAAAAGGTGTCTGTCGGATGAGGAAAGAAGATCTCTGAGCAAGGCTTCACCACCTTGGTCAACTGCATCGTGCGGGGTTTCAACAGGGATGGAAAGCGGACCTCTGGGCATGTCGCCAAGTACCAGACTAACAGCTGGTTTTCTTCACACACATTTCGCCGTGCGGCTGCCCAATACCGCTTCATGTACGCGAAGGCCGTATGTCACTGGTCGCTGCGTGGTGGGCCGGATGGAGTGTCGCCGAGGCAGCCGAGATGCCGGTTCGATATTTGCTAAACGTCACCATCCAATCGGAGGAAAGTAAGCCGGCTGACTGCTTGGCGCCGGACAAGACATACCTGATCGGTTGTCAAAGTGCTCCTTTCAAGGCAATAAAACCGAAGGAGGCTCTGTCCTATAGCGGCCGCGCCGTCTTGAAGCGCTGGTACTGGAAATGAAAGCGCAAATCAGCGAGTTAGCGAGTTCGAGCAGCAACTCATCACACGACGGAAGTGAAAGAGTATTTCCAGAAGTTGGTGAGGAAGCGCAAGCACAGCGTCCGATCCAAACGACACTCGAAATTCCACCGAATGATTTGTTGCACCTATTCAAACCCATGTCATAGTGATCACCGGCCGAGCGTACAGCAGCTGAAATTAAAAAGGAGCTGGTTTAGCGTGGCTAAGCTGTTGGATGATGATTTAGGGCTATTCACGACAGATCTTGGACAAACTGACCAGTCGCGAGGGAAGGAGCATGTCCTACCTGTGTTTCGTAGCTACTTCACCAAGAACTATGTAGATGATAACGTTTCGGGGTCGAGCGTGTCGAATCTCCATGCTTGTTTCCTTCATTAGAAACTACCGCAAGAAGCGCATTGACAAGTCTCTGCATCTCTGTAAGCAGGAAGCCATAAACTAATCATAGGCTTAAGTACAAATTCATATATTTTAGTCTGTCTTGTCATACTTTCTGATATGAACTTGGAAGCGTTTTAGTGAAAGTAGTATAATTCACTTGTGTTAAGGGAGGGGGTACTTACCCCCTATTCTCTCTCAGCTGGCGATTGGGCCCTGCGCGTTATTTCAGTTTTCTTGAACTCTTTGAAAGTTAAGGTCCATGCACTACTTACGAGGGTCCGCCCGGTTAAAAAAGCTTATAGTGGATTTTGAAAGTTAAGGTCCATGCACTACTTACGAAATCCACTATAAGCTTTTTTAACCGGGCGGACCCCTCATCTCGTGCCGTTTGGGCCTTCTCGTGTCGCTCATTGAAACTAGCTTTAGGGCAACTGATTCCAGATGCTGCTCCAACGCTTGCTATACTCTCGTAGCAAAAGCGTCTTTATCTTTAGTCTTCTCGAATCAAGATAGATGAATTTGACGTTTTTCTCGGTTGTATTCTGCTTCTGATAGCGAACCAATAACATCCTCTGAAAAATCGTCCGTATGGGACCTTTTAACGGTGGGTTGAACGCCGTTGTCGTTTTGATCTTGAAGCCGTTTATCTCGGCCGAGGAGCTTTCAAACTTGCACGCAGCCGACGGTATCTTCTCGAAGTGAAGCGCGAATATGATGGCTCTGTAGAACTAGGGCCATAAAGCCATTGATGGACAAGAGGAGTAGAGGAGTGTGCGAGAGTGAAGAAACGGCTCGAGGGAGACAGGAGGATTAATGCCTTACAGCAGAAAAAACCTACTTAATATCATCGGGTTACTCCCAAACCGTTTCATTTCAAAGACGTGTTCGAGATTATATATTCTTAATCTATTCCCAAACAAAACAGAGCCTTATTATATATATTTTTAAAAAATTAATTTTGGTAAAATTTAATGTAAAATATGTAGTTGATGGCCACTGGACGTTGAGCCTATGAAGAAGAAAAGGTGGGAGGCGGAGCCAAGCTCGAGCCTCATCCACAGCATTAGTATAGACCTGAGCATATTTGCATTCAGTCTAAAGGTTCTACGTGAGCAATGCAAATAACCTTGCCGCTCCAATCGCTGCCTCCGATCGCTGCCACCACCTCACTGCCATTATCATGGCCTCTTCATACTTAAGCGCCGCCTCAACGTTACCCCTCCCCCCCTTTTCTTTCGTCTCCAAGCGCCACGTCACTGCCGTCTCGCTGATCCTTTTAATACGAGCGCCATCTCACTGTCGCAAGATCTCTCGCTGTTCTGCTGGGTATTCCGGTACGAAGATAATACTGGTTTGCTTAATGCTGCTAACAGTGTGTTAATTTGGTGCTAAGACGACCTGTGGAGTCGTCGAGGATCGCTGAGTACCTGGTCCAACGTAATGTGTCATTGGCCTGTAACGACATACATGATTTTTAGAAGCGCCTCGACATGCTGTTATGCACTGGTGAGCAGGCTTGATCTCCGTCACAGGGAGATCTTGCAAGCCGCGCTCTACAAATTGGTCAGCTCAGAAAGTATGCTACTCACTGACGGCTTTACAACATTACTTTATAAATATCATTGTATTGATGACACTCGAGTTGCTGCAGCTTCGCTTCAAGGACGAGGCCTTTTTATACGGCTTTCAACCAACGTGAGAAGTGTGATGAAAAGGACATCTGGGAGCAAGTAGCAAATTGCATGACGAGTTCGCAATCAGGAGAGGCGTATCAGAATCGATTTAAAACAATCACCACCCAGCTTAAGTTAGATTTCACATATCTCTAAATGTAACTATGTCGCATTCATATATTGATGTGCTGCTATTGCATATTAAACCAGAGCCTCAGTGAAGAAGATTGGCGTACTGGTATAACCCTGACGATGCGCCATCATATCCTCCCTGCTGAGAAATGCTTCTAGCGTGTCCGTCGCCTATAGCAGACTCAATGACCAAGCATCAGCTGAAAGCGAGCGATATTTAGTGACGGCTTGCTCAACTACTGTTGGAGAGAAAAGCAGTGAAATGGATGAAGCAAGTGGCTGTGATCGGGGGATACCTCTTTATAGACGATATCTGGGATGCAGATCGGTGGCGCGGCTTCCGTTGGAAGCAAACGGCAAACGGCCGTCCGTATTTGTTATAAAAATACCGTCATCGAAAAGACAAAAAAAGCGAGTGAGCTATCGGTGTTGACAGCATCTGTTTCGTCCCTTGTCCAACATATTACTGGACAATCAGAGAATCAGGACCTCGACAAAGAAAAACTAGCCGAAACAAGAAGCTAAGCTGTCAGCTAAGGGATAATATCTCTGCACTGGAGAAAAGGCTGGTCACGGTTACGGAGGCGCTAAATTTTACTTAGAAATCACTGCGAAAGCAGCGGCGCGGGACAAAAAAGGGGTAAGAAAGGCGGTCAAACGGACCCCATGCTATGTGGTCTAAACGGACAACCGTTCAGCCAGCCGATCAGCGAAAGTGAAAATACTGAACCTGAGGGGGACAGCAGATGAGGCTCTCGGGGAGGAAGCCAAAATCGGACGGGGACCTAAGCGGAGTCCACCTAGCACCAGATCATCGACTCGGAAACAGCCTAAGCAAGCAGGCTACCTTACCGCTTATCCACATGGGGGAGGAAGCGGCCCAACCGCAAAAGCTGGATATTGCTGCTTTCAAGGCAGCGCTAGCGAATATCAAGATTAACTCAATAGCGAGGGTAGTCGTCGCCACCTTTATAGGCAGACGCTCAGTGGAACGTTGGCTGGATTGGCGAATGCCACTAGACATGCGCCTGTTGCCGCTCATCGACAATAATGAACACAGTAGGACTCACAAGTGCAGTTATGGATAATGTTATATTGTTGATGAATGGGTACGTTCTAAAATACGATCATGACTTTGACTTTCTAGCAAGCTGACAATTTGCTCTCTGTTCTTCTGACCTTGAAGAAACTCGACCGCGGCATCTACATCGTCGACGTGAAAAGCTCATGTGCTTCCAGACATATCGTCCCCATGGTGTACCATGTCGTCTTCCATACGTTGCCGACCTCAGCCTCAACGACTTGAGGTACATATTCAAGTGTACTCCACTCGTATAGGAACGCAAAATTTTGTAGTACGAAACATTTCGCAATTAACTTGCCGTCCTCTGCGTCTCTGTCCACACATCACGTCTCAAAGTTTGAAATATTCTGTTTAAAGCTCCGAAAGACATTTCCACGACAATACTATGACTTTGTTATAGTTGTTGATCGTTAAATTGCTTCTTTCGTCATGAGGGATGGACCTTATCACACGATCACGCAATTCATACCCAGTTTTTCTATAGAATGCATACCCTCCGGTAGACGGCGTCTTACTTTAGGTCTCGTTAGAAAAGCGACTTTCACATCCAGAAAAAACTCGCGCATCTTACCAAGTCAGTTGGGGTTTCCTTTGTACACTTATTTTATTTTTAACAAAAGCAACAATGGCTTTGAAGCACTACATCCGACGCGGAAGGCACTTCGAAAGCTGGCGTCGTATTGACGTAGGTCGTTTTTTCTTAGAAAGAAATCCGTGCGCACCGTGTATTCTACGGCTCTCCCAGTAGGCATAATGCGTCCATCGATATCATAAACTAGTAAAATGATACAAACAAGCACACTAACCACAGCAACAACTAAATCTCCTTCCATTGCGAGCAGGAGAGCAATACCAAAATGCGATTGAATTCCACAGGAACGTTGCAACCGTCCATGACACCAGCTAAAAACGAAAGGGTTAAACTTCTGGAGAATAGCGCTTTTCTGACTTCCAAGGTCAGAATTAACTTTATTCTTGGGATTACTTGACATCCAATGAGGATATGAACTTTATGTGAGGTGCCTGTGCCGGGACCGAAGAACAGAGCCGTGTCGCCGTTCTTTCCCTTGTTGATCGAGCAGTGCATGGCCATGATGCCGTCGAGCGGCAGCCAGTAGTTCATCATGAAGAAGATGCGCTTCTTCATCTCTCCGCCGTACCACGTGCCACCGATCACAGCCATGTCCTTCTCGATGTTGAAGGCCACAAACACCTCCGAGTTGAGGCCGTGCTTCTTGTAGTTCTTGTTCGTCACCTTGCAGGCGTTCACAATGGTAAAGTCCGGCTTGAAGTCCGTAATCTCCTCCTTGGTCTGAGGACGCAAGAACATGTTGGTCACAAAGTGGTGCTGCCACGCGAGCTCCGTGATGAAGCGCACTTTCTTGCGCTACGCCGGGTTGGCGCCGGCGTACCCGTCGAACACGTACACCTTCTCGGCCTGGCCGTAGTGCTCGCTCACGGTCTTGTACAGCTCGTCAAACACCTCGGGGCTCACGGGCTGGTTGATGTCACCCCACCAAATGTTCTTGCTGGACGGGGCCTGGTCCACAATGAACTTGTCCTTGGGCGAGCGGCCCGTGAACTTGCTCGTGTCGATCGTGTACGTGCCGTTCTTGACGAACTAACGCTCGCCGTTCTTCTCCTCGTGGACGGCGATCTTGTCGTAGTTCAGGTTGCGGTGCACCTGCGTCTTGGCGTTCGTCACGCCGAACTTGTCGATGCCGAGCGACGCAGCAGTCGCGTTGGCGAGCGTGCGCAGACCGAAAGACGACGAGAACGCCGGCGACGACTGCGCCATCTTCATGGCTCCAAGGCGCTGCACACAAGCGCAGAAAGAGATTCGAAGAGGGAGTGCTGGTCCTTGTCGTGCTTGATACGAGGTAATGTCGTCTTCTCCACCATCTCGTAGAGGAAACTGCCGCAGCGATGAGGTGTCACCGGACGGCGTCATGCATCAGGATCTTCGATCTTCGCCCCACTGGGAGTTTGTGACGATGGAAGGGCGGTATATTTAGCACATTGGGCCTTCTTGGACTGCCGGGAACGTCGTCGCCGTAGTTGGCAGGAGGTGGATTGCGCTCTCGGGAGCCAATTGGAGAATGCCTGATGGTGTTGAACGAGTTCATCCCCCTTCAGCTTGTACGCCTACGGTTAGCTGAGGCAAGTTGTTGACTGCAACGTGTCCCATCGATAACAGCAGCGTTCTAACATGTGCGAGTGGATCTTAAGTCTCCATCACGGCTGCGAACGATCGGAGTTTCATGTGCTAGTGCCACTGTCCTTGGATACTGACGGATCTGGAAGATGCGGCCTCACACGTATTCGGACTCTTCTCGGCCTTCTCGCGCAAAAACCTAAATGTGGGAACATACAAGAGCTGTAATTTGCGGTGCAAGTGCATGTATGGATGTAAAGAGAAAATGATCAGCAGATGCTACGTAGAGAGCCATAGAGTATGATCGGCTCACAATGATCGGAGCGGAGCATGTTCTTTCGAAACATAAGGCCGATCCTTTACCTGCGTCTACGCTTGTTTTGAGCGCTTGACTCACGTGCTCTACGCGTGGGAGTCCTAGACCGACGGGATCTACGCAGAGTATTAGTGACTGGAGTCTCCAAACGCGGCAAATGAAGAAAATATTCTTCGCGTTGGTTGGCGCAGCACCAACTACACCCACGGCGTGACTTACCGGACCAGCATTCGCATTGCGCGGCGCATCGGCTCTGGTATCAGTGATGTCCTGGCTATCTGCCAACGTCGCTGGACCATATACCGGGAAACCTGCTTCCGGCCCCGCTGCGATACCAACTGCATCTTCACCATTCGTAGCCGATCTCCGCACAGATCTTTGCTGGTGAACTGGACGCTCGAATCTCTGTGACTGCATGGGAATGCCAGGGCAAGGGAGCCCAGCAAACTGAGTCGCTTTCATTACATGAAAGCAAAATTCAGCTTTGTTCCAGCAGAGACACATGCATGTGCGACCTGTTGCATCTACGATCGATCCACCGGTCGGCCTGTTTTCCCACATGATCTTTGCGTAGTTTTTAGATTCGTGCGTGCACGCTGTCTAAGGTAGTACAGAGACCTCAAATGTACTGTCCTGGAAAGAACCAGCGGGCTTCGGAGCCACACGCACGAGCACCGAATCTTGTACACGGTGTACCACTTCAGCATCCCACACCTTTTTTTTGTCGGTCGTTCGATACGCAGCAAGCAATCTTTTCGACACAATTGCTCTATCGACAAGAGAGAGAGAGGCAGACATTCTATTTGGTCTTAACGACGACTAGCTGTCTGGTATTTCCTAAGCCTGGTGAGCAACGCCGGTTCCTCTTGCGAGTCCGGTAATTGTACGGGGCTCACCCGCTGTCTCGGGTGCTCTCGTGGTTTTTGTTCTAGTACCCGCAGGCATAGAAGTAAATGAGTTCCTCGCAATTGAGTCTCCGGTTGTCGGCATTCACATTTCCCCAGCGCTCTCAGCTGACGCATTGCCGTCCCCCAAAATTCTGTCGCACTGGAATCCTCTGTCACCTGAGCTTGTTGAAAGACGACCCTGTTGCGCTGTGTCCACAGGCTGGTAAGGCAAATTGTGCACAGGATATGCCAGATGCGTTTCCATTCCAGTATGATGTGCTTAATGTCGTCCGGGTATGTTTTCTGCATCTTCGTCACTAATGAGGGCGATACGGGAGGCGATTTCCTGTTTGCGCAGCTCAATAGGAAGTTCTCGATGTTTTGGGGCTCCCATGCTTCCCCAGTCCACTGCTGGATGAGCTTCACCCAACAAGCCTGGGCGCAGGAGCATTCCCAGAAGATGTGCTCCATCGTTTCCTTTTGCTCTTGACATGCTGCTAGTTTTCTGTCATGTTTCTTGCCTTCGTGGTACAAGTTGAGCTGCCGTACTGCAACTCGATACGCTACCCATACTTGATACTCCGTTAGCTGATTTCTGTGGGCCCAGACTTGCTTTGGCGTCTGGTGCATCGCTGCGCGTTGCCAGGTGCTTCCGGCTACCACCTCGTAAAGTCGCTCTACTGGTCGCTGAAGCTGTTCTACTTCATTGCGGTACCGTTTAAACGGCTGCTGCTTAAGTGCTTTCAGCACATGGTTATTCGCGATATTTTGTTGAACATTCCACGGACAACTGTGGACGCTGGGGTGAGCATAAAAGACTACCTTTCCTGATGCTCCCAGTGCTTGGAGCACTCGTATGTCTGCTGATGTGCCTTCTCCTTCGTAATCTGCTCCAACTGGAGTCCAAGCCAGTCCGTTGCTCTGCTGTTTCAAGGTGATACTGGCTCCCGCCGCCGACCCCACGACGACCGTGCCTATTGCAAGGCCGTCCGGTTGCCACTCCCACCGATATTCATTTTCCAGTTCTGGCGGGTGTCGTAAAGTAAGCTCTTTCGTAATTGCCAATGTTGCTCCCATGGGTAGGGCCGAAGCGTTCATCAAGATCGCCAGACCCCACCTCCGTAGCTTTGCCTGTTGGTGCTCCTCCTCCCCAGCGACCGGTATGTTGAGGGAGTACGTTTTCGAGCTTATTCGTGTGATCTGAAGTTCTTCCAACGTGCAAGGTTGGATTCGGTTGAACTTCTTGGTACTCAGGGTTCTGCCTACGTTATCGACAATCCACGGGTTTTTCATTCCACGTGTACGCCGGCCAGTAGAGTTCTTCTTGTGTACTCATTTCGCGTTGTGTACACCCGAGCTCCCATGGTAGCTCGATGATCCACGTCCCCGCTGCAGTCCAACTGATCGGTTCTAGTTCTAGTTCATTAAGTGCTATCTGGTATTCCAGTATAGCCTCGCCTTCCAACTCTGCGGTGGGTTGAAAACATTCACTGACTAGCTGGTGTAATTTGTCTCCTGGTGATACTCCCGCTGAGTGCAAGGGTCGTGTGAGCTTATTTCTGGGCGTAAGTGTATTCTCCCAAGCAAGTGATGTCCCTCGGAACATCCAATGCTTCCACGCCTGCCAGTACGAGTCTTTGCGTTGGACTAGCCAGAGGATCGTTTGTTTTACCCTCTGGGTCTTGCACGCCACCGGGATTGAGACGAGTCCCATTCCTCCTGCCTGTTTAGGAGCGAAGACTAGGCCTGGAGCGACCTTGTGACGAGTACTCTCTGTTGCCGTTGCATGCCTCCACAGAAATTGTTTTTGCAGATTCCTAAGTTGCTTGTCTGCCCATTTAGGCATGTCGAAGGCCGCTGCTGTGAATAGAACCGAGGGAAGCATAATGACGTTCAGGATGGTGATCCGATGGTCGATGCTTGTTCCCAACTTCGTTGCCGTTGCTAACCGTCTTTGGATGTTGCGAATCCTGCCTGCCCAGTTGATGTCTGTCAACGGCCCTGTGCCCACTTGATAACCCAAATATCGGACGGTGTCACCTCGTCGAAGGACCGGTAGGCCGAAGAACTGGTGTTCTTCGATCGCCTTGTTTAAGAAGATGAGCTGACTTTTGGCTGGTTGTACCTGCAGACCCGAGGGTTGACCGAAGCGTTCTACGATATTCATTACTTTAGGGATCTGGTGGGCATGCTGCAGGAATACTGTCGAGTCATCTACGAACGCAGAGAATAAGTGCCGCTGTCCTCCTGTTCCTGGGACTTCCAGCCCTTCCAGTGTGGTGTCCTGCTTCATCGCCAGTGCTAATACTTCCGCCGCAATTATAAACAGTAACGGGGCTACTGGACAACCTTGACGGATACCCGAGACAACTGCCTGCGATTCGGAGAGTTCTCCATTTACAAGAAATCTTGCCGTTGTGCCATCATGCAGCCGCCGTAAGAGATTCACAAATTCTACCGAAAATCCAAACTTTAGTAACGCCAGAAACAGGAATTCCCGCGAGACGGTATCATAAGCTTTCCTGAAGTCGAGAAGGAGAATTACTCGACTTAACAATGCCGAGAGTTCCGGTTCTCCTCGAGCCGTGGCGGTCACCGCCAGCATCATCATGACAGTCTTTATCATCTGTCCGCCGTGCACGATTCCCTCTTGTGAGTCGCCGATCGGTTTACCGATAACTTTCTGCATCCTGCCCGCCATTACTTTCATGAAGACTTTGTACGCGGTCTGTAGAAGTGAGATTGGTCTGAAGTCCATGGCATCTACCGAGTCTCCTTTCTTCCTGAGAGGAATAATCAAACCCACCAGGAAGGAGGGAGGCGGTTCCGCTCCCGCCAGTAACTCGTTACCTATCACTACCATTGCTGGAGCAAGGACCGGCTGAACATCCTTGAAGAAGTCATTGTTTAACCCATCTGGGCCGGCCGCTTTGTGTCGATTGAGCTCAGCAATGGCCCCGACAACCTCATCAATCGTGATTTCAGCCATTAATTCTCCATTTTGTTGCGGTGTTATCTGCCGATCTCCAGGAATGTGTACAAATTTGTCGAATTCCTCCTGCAGTCTGTTTGGAGGAACAGTACTGTGAACAACTCCGAGGATTGGTTTCCATTCAGAGCCAAATTTGTCTGCCATCTTCATTTCTCTGTGAAATCGGTCTCCATGGAGGTGATGAATCTCTGCAATTGATTGATCTTTCTCCCAGTTGGAGATCCGCTTAAAATTCCAACGCAGTTGGTCCATTGTCCGTTCCAGGCGCTGACCTAGTCGTACAAGCTGTTCCTCACGAGCATCTTCTTCATTTGCTTGTAGGAAGTCCCGCCTGGTGAGGAGGTGGGCCCTGTTTTGGGCTTTCAACCGTCGTTTCATTCGTTTTCGACGCTGGCGTTCGAGCTTTTGGATAATCCTAATGCTGCGTACACAAGCTTCGGCCGCGTGGTCCCATGACTTGCTCGTGACTTGATAGCCAACTCCCTGCTCTATTAGTTCCTTCATGAGTTCCCGCTGCAACACAGTGTGTCTAGAAGTCCTGATGGGGTACGTGACACGCCGTGTTGACCGGTTTCCTTGCTTCGGTTGTATCCTGTCATGCTGCAGGTGCAGGCATACACACTGATGATCAGACTGTGCTTCTGGCTCTCGAACTTCCACCCACTGTATGTCTGCCGTCCAAGCTGACGGAACGTAAAAGGGGTCGATCCGACTGGCGCTACCCGCTCCCCAATAGGTATAAAATTCCGTCGGGTCTGGGTCCGCGTCATCAGTTCCTGCTTCGCCTTCCAGGGTGACTGCGTCTTCCAGGTCGAGGTCAGTGATTAGATCTCGTAGAGCCTTGCTCTCCGGTTTGGGGCTGCGTCTGCCCCCCATGCGATCCAGAGGCGGACTCTGTACGCAGTTAAAATCCCCAGCTAGTACAACTTCATCTTTGGGCCAGTTCCAACCTCGAATTCTGTTAAAAAACGGTTATCTTTCCGTTGGGGCGTTGGGAGCGTACACATTGACTAGCAGTTGCCCAGCGACGCGTACAGCGATGGCTCTGGCGCTCCATTCTGCTATGCTCCATGGTTTTGCTAATTCTGCGTGGTCAGGGTTCAGAAGGATCGCTACACCTCCTACTTTGGATGCATTCACACTCCAATACGAGAGCTGAGGTGCGTCCGGATTGTTGTGTCGACCCCACAGCCTTTGCCAAGACTCCTTCAGCCTTGTTACCTCCTCGTCTGTACTAACATGGGTTTCCTGCAGCAACCACGCCACAGGTCTTGCTCGGACTGGCGTTCTTCGCCAGGCTCGAAGCCAACTCATTTGGCTCTCTTGTTTGAAGCCTTTCACGTTCTGGGTCTGGAACCGTTGCTCCCCTACCCTTCCTTTTCTTTTCCTCCCTGCATCGAGCCCCGGCTCGCGCAGGGCGCGTAGACGCCCGTAGGCGTCCCCAGCAGCCACCTCACTCTTATCCCGTGCTTGAGGTTGCTGCTGCTCCTCGCCACCCTTCATATGGGTGGCCGCGCTCTGGCCCCCCTTGCTCCAGGGCCGTGGAGAAGTAGCGCGCGAGGGCATACTAATCCACCGAGTTGTTATCAGCTGAATACGCAGTATGAAACTCCGACACTGTCCGCAGTGCGAACAAGTGTCGTTGGAGCCGCGTCGATGCACCGCTCTCACTGTTCGATTCTCGTGCTGTTATCGCTCTAATTTCTTTTCAAAAATTAGGGCGCACATGAGATGCTGGGCCAGCCGCGCGCTTGTTGCCTACGTCACATAGTTTGAGGATCTCATCTTGTCCGTAGCCCCTGCTGCGTAACTTGACCCAGTCATCACGACTGTCCACTAACGGGGCCAAGTTGTGGGGCGGTGCTCTAGCAAAGCGTGCTTTCCAATCATCTAGCCATTTGAGTGTTTCTCTGTCGTCTGATCTACTGCGGTACGCAATGAGACTCGCCAGCACACAATCTCGTCTCCATTGCGCTGTCCATTCCATGAGTATTTTGTCGCTTAAACTCGCCATCAATTCATCCGGGAATGCAAATCTCTGCACCATATGCAAAAGCTTTGTCGGTTCCGTTTCAATCCATTCCTCCCCCGAGCTGCTCTCTGACGGGAAGGGAGCTTGCGCGTTCGATGGCCAGATGACCACCATTTGCTGCCACAGATCCGGCCATACCTCGCGGACTGGTGGATTTGCTTCAGCCAGAGACTCCTTTCTCGCCGAGAGAGCTGCCGGGCGGGCTACAGCTTGCTGTGCGCGGTCTGTTTTCGCTCGGACTTCTTGGCGAATGACTTCACACTCCATTGGTGTGAGGGTGTGAGCCCTCTTCGCCTGCACTTTCGGAGATTGGCGATAACTTCGTCTCTGGGTTTGGCTAGACTGGGAGTTGTCCGGACTACTTGCACTGGATGGCGTGTAGTTAGAACCCGTCTCCACGTCAGCTGCATCCTGAGCTACTGAGTCCCGCTCCAGCTCTGCATTGGGCTCATGCTGGACGGTCAACTGCCATTGACGGAGCACTACTCTGGAGATTTGATACTTTTGGAGCATTTGTGTTGTCGCTGCATTGGACTCGTCTGCCAAATCGGAGTTGACGAGAAACTTGCGCTCGGACAGCGTGAGCTGAGAGGCGGTATTGACAAGAAACGCTAGCAGTTCATCATAGCGTTCCGGCTCAGCAGTTTCCAGGATGTGGTGGATCTCGCATTTGAGATCATGTGGGATGGACAATCCCAGAAGCCGCTGACGGAGTTCTGTCAAGTCTCCTGCCCACATGGTGGGGTCCCATGGATCCTCAGTATCTTGCGCTTCCCGGTTTACTTGCCCTACCAAGGCACCGCCTCCGGTCATGTCATCATCTGCATCCTCTAGAACAGGGCGCTTCTCTTCCTGTGAGGAGTCTACCGGCACTGGGATTGCTAGCGACGCCGAATGGACGAACGCCGAGTAATGACGCCCCCAGAAACGGAGCACGAGTGGGTTGTCCTTCTCTGTGGCTTGTTTGGCTTCCCGGATTGCTCGTAGGCACGCTTCTAACTGCAAAGGGCGTTGTCTCCCAGTCTCGAAGATCTTCCTTCCCCTGGTCATAGTGCTCGGTCGGTACTCCGAGCAGTACCAGAGCTTTTTGTCATCAGTATCGTACGCCAAAACAAAGATTCGCCTGCCGAGAAAGTTGGCCGCCGTGGCCATCAGTTCACTGGAGCCCCAATTATATCGCGGGACTGAGTCGTGGATTCTCGACGAGGACAAAGCATATTCCTGCAGGTACCAGCGAAATTGCTTACTTGACTCCTTGGGATCCATGCCTTCCCACCCTCTTTCCATATTCACCAGCGTTTGTGTCCGAGTGAAATGGTCAAATTGATCCATGCAGTTGAGTTGTCCCGAACAACAGATCCCTCGCTTGATTGCTGCCGTTAATGTCTCCATAGTGTCTGCTCGCGCGGCTAAGTTGTGGTTAGCGATGCCTTGAGCTAGCGCCATGGCCATGCAGTTCCCGGATGCTGGTGTGGTGACCTCTTTGATTCCGAGATAGCGCTCTACATGCTCAAACGTGGTTACTTCTGCCAGAGAGTCCAGCGATGCCGGCCATTTGTCCCCATGACACTCTCCCATTTCGTGCAGGACTTTGGCTATGACTCCTCTTTGCCGTTGCTTCAGGGCCAATAATTGAGAAGTGTCCGGCAGTTTCGGCAGCTTTGCCTTAACGAGATGTAGTTTCGCTTTATCCGCTGCGGTAATTATTGGTTTCCGCTCAGACTCGGCTTCACTACTGGACGAGAGCTCGATCACTGGATGCTCGGGGGGGCGTTCCTCCGTCTTACCCTCCGATTCTGACTCGTCTTCTTTTGCGTCAAATAGCTCCGAGAAATGGGATGTGACTTGGACTCCTCGATTCTGCAGGGCTGCTGGATGAGCGTGCAGGGTTCTACCTTTCTGGAGAGGAATTTTTACCCACTGCTGAGTAGACGATGACATTCGGCCGATTTGATTTTCAACTTCCACGCGGTCGTTCGTAGCGAATTAGGCGTGAAGGAGTCCATATCGACAAGCTCGAACGCGGTTGCTAAGTTCTTCTTCAAATATGCTGATAGTCTTCCGATGTCAGTAAACCGCGTGATGTTGTGGATCTCAATTTCATACTTCTGCTGCGCTGTACGTCTGACGCCGTCACTTTGGAGTTGGCGGTCCCAAACGGAGCCAGTGTCTGCGGGGTGCGTGTTGGCGAGAGAATACATGACCCCTCTGAAAGGGACCAGTACCTCTTGGTATTTCACCGCCGTGGCTCTGTCGAAGAGGTAGATGTGAATACTTCTTTTCAGGTCATTGTACGCGATGGTCTTTGCTAAGTTGAGCATGAGCTGCAGTTCTTGAATATTGATCCGCGCTTTAGCCGCATCGAGCAAAATGTCCTCCTTAATGAACCTGGTCTGCTGCCGGCACTCGTTCACCCTTGCTCAACCTCGCAGTTGCATCACTAATTTCCCTTCGACTTGCTGCTGGATGGTAGTATGCAGCCGTAGCCTTTCTTGCGAGTCAAACACACTGCTCAGGAAGTCCGGCATCCGGCGGCACGCGATTGTTCCTTCCGCAATACCTACGATAATTCTCCATTCCTCATCCGTCGCCTCTCGTAGACGACGATCTCCATGATGTACGTGCGTTTGCTCACAGAGCCGTCGCAGCTTCATGATTTCCTGCTGCGAGTAGCAGGATGGGTTGAATATTAAGGGCTCGTATTGATCTCGCTGCGCTCCACGAGAACTAGCAGATGGCGATGGCATTACCTTTGCCCTGGTGCCCGACTTCACCTTCTCCGCCCATTGATTCATCGGTGGTGTCCTGGCCCATCTCACCTTACTGATCCTGCTGTACATGATGTTCTTAAACGTCCATCGCGTACTCAGCAGGTCCTGAACCACGGATGTGAGACAGGTTTTCCACTCTGGGTAGGATCCGGCCACCACAACATTCATCTCTCGGAAGAGGTTGTACAACAACGCCTTCTCGTCACCATGTAACTTGGGATACCGCTTTTTGTTGGGCGGAACTTTGTCGTCATCAATACTTATAGAGTTATGAGCAGTTACGTATAACGCCACGATCGTCATGACCCATTCGTCTCTCGGCTGCTCCCTGGGATTCGCTTTAATCAGCTCGACAACTGCCTGAAACATCTCGTCCGGTTTTGCCGTTCTCTCCTCCTCCGTGACGGTCGAGGATGCCTGCCGAGCTGGCAGGTCTGATCCGGTTGAGTGTCGGGGTTCCCCTCCTGCCTGCTCGGTCTGCTGAACTTGGACGTGGTGATCCTCCCTGGGCATTTCGGATGTTGCTGCATTTGCGGTCTCCGACGCCACCTGGGGTACCTCTGTACATTGCTCGGACAGGTCTGTTTGTTGAGACACAGATTGGTGTGTCTCCTCCGTCAGCGGTGCAACTCTGGGCTTTGAGCTGGCTTGCATCTCTACGTCTTCATCCTCTGTTTCTTGCGTTTCTTGCACGATCGAATCCTGGGACCAAATCATTTGCGCCTCTTCGATCGCGACCTTTGAGTCTTCGCTCTTTTCTCTCTGTTTCTGTGTTTTCTCCCCGGGCGATCTCTCTCGGCCGCATTCCAGGTCCTCTGCTGCCCTTCTTGCTGCAGCTGTCCCTGCATCCCCACCGTGCTGACTGGGTTGCGGCGAGTTGCCTCGTCCCCTGTCCCCTGTCCGGTGGCGGTGGCCGTGGCGGCTTCATCTCGATCGCGCTCTCACTCGAAGTTGACACCAAGTTTTCCTTAAGTTATACTCTGCCTCGGGAAACTGATGTTCTCACTGTGTCGCAGATTGGAGAGTGATTGCTCTATCGACAAAAGTCATCTTTGATGATACATGCGCAATACGTGAGTAATCCAAGCGAACAACGAGTTCGGCAGGATTCGCACGCTGACTGTCATTTACAAGTCTTAACGTTTTGTGATATTGCTCCAACGGGTTGTTGGTCGTAGCATACCCTGTAGGTGTGTGGTAAACTTGCCAGCGCGAAAAGCAAGCCCCCGTAATCCATTGAGAAATAATGTGGTTTGAAACACGCCGAAAACGAGGATTCAGCTCACCAGCGCCGCGCTATGACCTCAGAACAAATTCTCTCTTTCGAAGATACTGTTGTTCATCGCGTGAAAAGTGCAAATCATATAGATTCCTGAAAATCATCTTTATCGAAATCAAATCCAGCTTTGCATCATGTGCATGTTTAAAAACACATTCTGTATTACGTGGAACCAACACATCAAAATGGTGGTTCCAGGTAACTCTGCAGTGCAGGCGTTTTGTTGGGCCTTGTCTGCGTCCATCATGACAAAGTCAGGCGAGAATGGCACCCCAAATTTCTTCAACATGACTCTTTTTAAACAGGAAAGGTACCAAACAATATTCTCTTTGCGCCTTTGAGATGTGCACCAGTACACAATTGGCAAGAAGGCTCCACTGCGATCTGAAAAGCCCAATACAGAAACAGGGTACTCCTGCTTCACACAGCTGTGTGTTGTGTTCATGTGCAGTAGCGTAGTTAGAGACGGGTCCTGCTGCACTCGAACATAACGCTCTAAAAGCCGCTTGCACGTCACACCAATGCGAAATGGGTTGCCTTGAGACCCCGTGCCGAGAGCAGGCTCCACAACGCCGTCCACAACTTTTGTGTCGCACAATATTAGCAATGCATCTGGGTCTGTTTGCCAAGAATGTGAACGCTCGCTGCCTGATGGCAAATCTCCAGCACGGGGTCCATACTATCCGGTCGGTTTTTACGCCGCCATCCTTTCTGATAGTTTTGGACCTGTGCAAGCTGCGGGGTAGGTCCGCCGATACGCCCATCCTTAATCTCACGACACAAGAATGCGTACAGTGCCTGCGCTACCATAGACGGAGAGTCACTTAGCTTGACATCTAGATAGGACTTCATCCCGGCGGTCAGCTTAGATGCAATGGGGGATGGGGGAGCATCGTCGGCCATCGTATGATCCCCTTGCTCGAATATAATTTTTCCGTCACTTTCTTGACACTCCAGGATCTTATAGCGACAAGTGCATGTTTGTGTTGTAGCTTTGCAGCGTTGTGATTTGCATTTAGTTACGATATACCGCATTTCATGCCATGTTACAGCCAGCTCATCTTCGTAGCGCTCAACGTGATCAATTGTACAGTGGTGTAGCTCACTTGTTGGCCGTGAAAAGCACGGCAATCCTGCCAGAAAGTCATCAAAAGGGACAGGATCACCAGATTTCCACACTTCATGCCACGGAAGACGTCCTGTACGGCCACCGTGATCATTCTCCCACAATGCTGTTAATTTTTAAATTTCTTAGATGATGTGAAGCTAAGCTCTTAACTATTTTAGTAGTAGTGGCTAACGATATCTATTTGTGGAGAGAAAAGATTTTTGCGAAACGACACTTATTTTGGTGTGGTGTACTGCTCTTTCTTTTGGTGAGACCCTTTCTGCCTCCTCATCCTATTATTTGTGTTCGTTAAAAAAATAGAGTGCTTTGGATGGCTCTCAAGGCATATACTACAGGTTGTTGTTTTGATGGTTTACCGATCGACTTCTGTACCAAGCCATCAATGAGCTCGTTACGATAGGATTTCTTCATCGTGGTAGCGTTGTGTGAGAGTCTTGTGGGGCAACGGTGCTGAGATGCCGAGTCACTATAGTCAAGAAGAGAGCGGTGAATTCCAGTACGGATTTCAAAACATCTAATCGTCTGCACCAAAAGGAGTCTAAGTGCTTGTCCTTGAGGTCACGATCCGGTTTGGAGCGGCGCTAAGGATTGCATTGATCTCTGCCCAGTCAGTCGCTGTGTATAGCACAGGTTTAGCATAGGCAACGCAGTCACCAAGCGAGGTACAGTTCATCAGCGGGTGGATATTGATCCCATAATAATCCACCACTTCACGAAACAACTTCGCAGAGGACGACCCAGTTTCATCGGGAGCTATCCAAATACCGACATCCGCTGCAAGTAGAGCCAACAGATCCGTAACACTGTCACCGACATATACGACGGTCGGCTGCGTTGCTGAATACATCGACCGTATCTTGTCAATCCACCACGCTTTATCCATAGGTGACTGCACCTTCACGTCGATCTCTCCAGTTGTCACTCCCTGCTGATCTGTCTTCATTTCTACTCACACACTTCATAAATACGTGCAATCACTTAGCTCGGTTCATTTCAGGACGCACCATTGGCGATGATCTGCGTCGGGTCATGTGCAGCTCCAGCTCGAGACATTACCGACTCCAATAGTGTTTTATTCCAATTGACAGAAATAATTTTCCACTCATCAGCAAGTGCCAGTGTATCAACACAGTTTGGTCGGATCTGCACGCTGCTCGTTGCATTCACAAGGTCTTGAAGCCGAATTCCTTTCAGCACTCGACTCTTCACGACCCGATGCACCGACCGCAAGTCCACTGCAGCGTACCCTCCCAGGAACTCGCGTAACCCTGCACCATCGAAACTGCTATTGGGATTGTTTCCTCGCTGCTGCCACTTGGTCTTGTAGCGGCTGAGGAACTCGCCGACTTCGTCGACGTACTGCGTCACCAGCTGCTGTTGCATTGAAGCAGTACTTGAGGCAAGCTGGAAGAGCAGTGACGTCGTGTCACGCAGAGTGATGGTCTCATCAAAATCCACGCACAGCAGTACGGGTCGCCTCGAGGTGGCCCCATCAAGACTCATGCGAGCTCAAAAGACTTGTCCATAAAAAGGGTACGTTTGCTTCCGTACCCCCTTTGTTCATTTTTCACTTTTTTGGCTCAAAGAAGACAGCAAGAGACGAAGGATGGCGTCGAAGGACGAGACGTTGGGGCAGGCCAAGCAGCGCCACAAGCTGGAACTGCGTGTACGGATTCTTCTTTATCAACTCGTGCAACTTGCTTACGAATCTGATTTTTCTGCAGCCCTCTAGCACTGCATACATCGATTAAGTCACATCTCATTCTGACATTTTTTTTCATTGTCCATTTCTAGACAATGCAAAATGACATCAAAGCATTCCAGAAGAAAGCCAAGAAGGACCGACTGAGCAAGAAAGACATTGAGACGCAGGTTGCAACCATGGAGGACGCCGTGAAGGATCGTCACGAACAGGAGCTGAAGTCCTTCAACACTGAGGAGGACGACGTCGACGCTGCTCAGCCAGACGCCGTACCGGGTCAACCGGGGTCAACAGTGCTATCAAAACAGGCCAAGGCGCAGGCTAAAGCTCAGCGAAAACGTGAGGTTAAAAAGCAGCAAGAGCGTGAGCGTCACGAACGCATTGAAGAGGCCAACAAGAACACTGTAAGCGAGCGGCAGATTGAGGCTGACATGATCCTGGCACAACTGTCCAGACACGGCCTCAAGATCAAGGACATCCCGTCTGATGGTCACTGTATGTATCACGCTGTGGCGGACCAGATGAAGCAGAAGAACTTGCCTAGCGCAATCGAGATGGCGGGGTTCCAGTATCTACGGAAACTTACGAGCGAGTACATGCTCGCGCACCCGGATGATTTCCTGCCGTTTATGGCGCTGGATGAATCGTCCGCGAGCCCGGAAGACGCATTCGAGACTTACTGCGATCGACTGGCGAATACTGCTGACTGGGGTGGACAACTGGAGCTCCGTGCTTTGGCCTGTGCGCTACATACGCCCATCGAGGTTTTCTCGGCCGAGGGCGACGTGCTGGTGATGGGCGGCGAGTTCGTTAGCGAGGACGATGAGAGTGCACCCAAGCTACAACTGACCTATCACCTGCACTACTACACGCTAGGCGAGCACTTTAACTCTGTTGCTCCGGTGTAGTCGACTAGACTCTAAGGTACAACTGCGCTCTGTCGGCCAATGTAACCCCGAACGGGCATGATACAGTAAAACCGACTTCAAACAGCCTGATGGATATAAGACAACGCTGTTACTCGTTAGCTATGCTACACGGATCGAACTCAGTTACTACACTTTTAGACATAGCTGTTCCAATGCAGCACGGCAGTGAGATGCAAGCTGGGCGTCACGGTGTTTCGCATGCAGACGAAGGACGCGTATGCATCGTTCATCGTTCACACTGGAGGCCGCGACTGAGCGCGGGTCCACCTCTGTCACCAGTCGGGAGAACGCGCCGAGTGCTCTGGCGCATTCCCGAAGCAGTTCGATCGAAAAGAGTGAGCGTTCGTTTACATCCTTAAGCTGCGCCAAAATCACGGGCGTGGCTTGGATACGCAGCTGCTGCGCTGTCCGACGAGCCAAAGACAACTCACTCTCAGGGAATCGCGGGACGGCGCGAGCGATGTTCGCTAGTGCTCCGACGGCACTTCGTGACATACTGAGGTCTGTAGCTTCCGCGGCTTGAATTAACGGCGTAACCAGGTCAGCGTGGGCAACCAGACACGAGTTCTGTACGTCTTCCGTGAGTTCTGCAAGCCCGGCACAGCCTTCACGCATTGCGTCAAGATACCGCGACGTGAGCATGATCTTCATCGCCTCGACGCCTGAACTCGGCGTTGGCTTCTTGAGGGACAACGTCCGCCATATTTGCGATCCAAGACCATCGCGTTCTGAAGAATGAGCAAACTGGTTGGAAGCTGAAGAAGCGGTATCTCTTGCAACACGTTTCTGACCGCTACTTTGCGAGCACGGCAACGCTGTGGCGTCGATAATAGGCGACAGTTTCTGATGGAGAATACGGTACAGTCCGTCCCACAGCAACACACTTCCGCTGCGTCGCTGGAATTCCACAAGAAGAGCGCGCTGGTGAGCATACACTCTCACCACAAACTCGACGTGGCTGTAGTGCACATACTTGAGGCACTTGAACTTGCACTTGAGTGGGTGGAAGATGGCTTCAATCCCGCAGTCTGCAAACAGCGCTGCAAGCGTCGACGTCACCTCTGCAGCTGCAGTTCCCGCTCCTGTGTTTGTCCGCTTCGACTTGCTATAAAAGTGATACGAGTCGACGGGGTATGGCGGCGGGGGTAGTGCCGGCGCTATGATATGCTGTAGAACGGACGTCAGTCCTTCCTGCCTGTCTTCTTCCTCTTCTACGTCCATGACAGTGTCCAAATCCTCGTCCTCCTCTTCATCTAATTCGTCGTCACTGCCCAAACCGAAATCATGTCGCCCGGTCTTGGGGTTCACCACGTATGAAGCGAAGCTGCTGGTGCTGCTGGTACTGGCACAACTGTTCCCACTGGCAGTGCGTGCTCTCCTCAGTCGCCTCCACTGCTCGTACGGCGTGCTCTGCACTCCTCCACTACTGTTGTTGCTTTCACTATGGATGCTGTGGCCACTAGAGCCAGGCGAGAAGCCGTCGACGTTTGCGTTCGCACTCACTTTAGCTGTCCGGCTACTGCGAAACACCGGAATGCTAAGTGCTCCGTGACTACGACTAAGTGCGGCCCGGCTACTGCCCCCTTCGCTACGTCGAAGCTCCATCTTGGATGGCAGTCGCGATGTCGATGAGCGCAGCGAAGCAGACGAGGTCGAAGATAACGAGGCATGCGACGACACCAGTCGCGGCGGGCCATCGAAGAACCCGCGCGAGTTATGGTGCACCTGTTGTGAGGGTGTAGGCCGCTGGTGCTGCCGGTGATAATGATGCTCGAGCTGCGCGATTGGCTGCTGCGGGTACTGACGACGGAGGCGGCGTGCGGCGGCACGGCTGTCAGTGATGTCATTGCTGCCGTTGGCCACGAGTGCGGCGTTTTCTTGGCCGCTGCTACGAGAGCGCTGCATGGTCGGGATGGTGCGGCTGGTGACGACGCCCGACTGGGACCCGCCGTTCTTCCACGTGCCGCCGGACTGGAACGCAGCCATGGTAAAGGGCGTCTACCTGGAAATGAGGGCTGTCGGGAGGCCGGACTAAGTCGGCGTTTCGGTTCAACTGATTTCACTTGGTTTAAATAAGATCAGATCTCACTTGAGTTTTGTAAGCAAAGAGTCCAATGATCGCACTTTCTTTCGCGCTGATTGGAAAAAGCGCAGAACGTTCAGGATTTTGGGGTAATTCTGAGGAAAGAACCCAATTTGGTCAGGATTAGCCAGTCGCTTGATAGCTTATATTTTGTAGGAGATCAACGTTTGTCACAAATTTCACCGATACAAATCCGAAGTCAATTTTAACTGGTCTCAACTTGCACAAAATGGTGAAGATGAAGGTGGAATCGAGCGACGCACGCGACGTGCCTTTAGAGGGGCGTCTGCGCCAGAAGAAGCAGGGCTTTGCCGTACAAAGAGAAGCACAAACAGAGGACAGTGGACCCGCTCGTCGTTCAAATAAGAACCAGCCGCTAGAGCTCACTTCTAAGCGCGCCGTGGGTCGCTTCCGACATGTTGTGGAGGTCAAGAAGCGGCGTGTGCTGGACCCGCGCTTCGAGGCGCAGAGCGGCCGTCTGAACGAGGAGCTATTTAACAAGAGCTACGCCTTTTTGGACGATTACAAGCAGCGCGAGATGCAGGAGCTGAAGCAGCAGCTGAAGAAGAGCAAGAGCGCAGCAAAGAAGGAGGAGCTCAAGGTCAGTATCTAAAAGGAAGACATGAGAGGAGCCATGCTGACGTATATATTGTAAATTATATCATGGTATTGATGCAGCACGAGATCGCGCTGCGACAGCAGACCATGACAGAGAAGAAGAAGCAGGAGACGATTAAGAGTGCGCTGACCAAGCGGAAGCGGGAGGAGCGCGAGGCTGTCGCGAGCGGCAAGGGGGCCTTCTACCTCAAGGTTTGTGCTACTGGAGATGCTGCTATAGAGGAATGGCATCTGATTTTGTGTTCTACTGGTGGAAAACTATTGCAGCGGAAGGACAAGAAGAAGCTCGAGCTACAAGCCAAATTCCAGGACCTACAGGAGACGGGAAGACTGTCCAAATTTATGGCCAAGAAGCGCAAGAAAAATGCCAGCAAAGACCACAGATGGCTGCCCACGCAGCGAAAATGAGCGCATGTTGGCTACTGGCTGCAAACCGCTCAGGTTTGGTCGCGGAGTTTTTTTTTTCTTGCGCGCTGGCGGCTTGCTTGCATACCAATCTACAAATAGACAGCTTGTGAGTGTTGGCTTTGATTGTATCGATATTAGCACTAATGCTTACACTACCAAGTACACAGCATTTGATCCGACCGACGTGCTTAAAAGTCATTTCTTATAAGATGACATTTTCCAGTAACGTGCAGTCGACGCGTTTTCCCACTTTGATAAATGAGTGTCGCTAAGCAATCTTTAGAATTTAGAATTTTTAGATTATGTACAATGTGGTTCAAAGGCATAGCGAATACGAAGTACTTCAGTATAATTGCAATTCTATTGAGCGGCTATATCGACTGGATCTGTGTACATGTATTCGGGACACGAGTATTCTACACATTGTGGTAATAATCCTCACGCCACTACCGTGTTTATTTCTCTTGCAGATTTGCGCCTCGGTTTTTCACAGTGTGAAACTGCCCTTTTGGATTCGAGGCTTTCTCGTGTGTGTTTTAAATCGCGTTCGCTATGTTATTTTTCCTTTGTACGCGTTTTTTTTGGGGCAAGTTTCTAATGTGAATCGATTGATCAAGTGCATGCTACAGTGTTGACGTCAATGTTTAGAGCGGTGCTGCGAGTTAGTTCGTGGCATCAATCGCTTCGTATCTTGCCAGTGGCAAGTTGCCTCGGGACGTGGGCCACGGCGCATCTGGCAGCCAACCGTCAGTTTTCAAGTAGGAACGAGAAAGAGAATCATTTTATGATGGATTTAATGGTCTACTAAAGACAGTACATGCACTTCTGCAATCCCACCTTCATGCGTTAATATTCCGCTTGTATGCAGCAGTAATCTCAGCGTACACTTGGACATAGTGCGCACGCGACCGAATACTAGTGTGATCGCCAGGTACCATGGCCACGTAGTTGGGCACTGCAGAGCCATCTTGAGCGTTATCTTTGCTGCTTCCAACCAGTTTCTGCAGCGACCGACACGCGAAGTCGAGGTAGTACGTGTCCTCAACACCGCAGATAACATGAACCTTGCCCTGTAGTTTTGTAGTCAACAAGTCAGGTCGCTTCTGAAGGAACTTGCAGATATCATAGCGTTCCCAGTACTTGGCAACATCACGATTAATGTCACCAGACACCTTGTCAAACAGCGGAATCGGCATTCCGTCAGCTCCCCGCGGACTGAACAAAGCAGACTGCAGCAAATACATTAGAAATTAATGACCCAATGCACTCAGACGCAATAGAACTTACGAAGGCATCCCACTGTCCTCCATTGCCACGACCATACACTCGTTCCACCAAATTCTCATCCCGGTTGCTGCACGTAGTGAGTCCGTTGCTGCGACTTGTCGGGTACGGGTGGCCATTGGCATCCCAGTACGCGTTCTCGGCCTCGTAAATATTTACAACTTGGAAGCGCGAGAAGTCAACCGGATCAGGTGCAGAGCTCCATGTGCCGCCAAAGAAGTCAGGGAATTGCAACTGTAGCCATAGCGTCGCCCATGCACCAGAAGAGTGGCCGTGTAGGAACCGACCTCCAGCAGAAGGAATCGCCGCATACAGGCTCTCGAGGTACGGGATGAATTCGGTCACTAGCGCTGTACCCCATGGCCCATTAGCATCCGTATCAGCGAACGAGGTGTGACCAAATTTGAAGCGCGATCCGAGTGTAACTCGCAGCATTGGCGTCGGCCATCGACCAGCCCGCCAATCCTGTCCCATCTCAGACGACAAAAAGCCCTTGGCACGCTTCGCATACGACTCGGTACCAGTGAATCCCTCGATATAGTACACCGTCGGGAGATGCTGTGTGTCCTTCAAAGTCTCGTAGTCTTTCGGTAGCACGACCGACGCCATCATATAGACGTCTTGGTTGTGGTAGGCGCTCAGCAGCTCGCTCTTCATCGAGATATGCTCCACCCACTCGGTGGCAGTTAAATCCATCGTTTCCTCCACAGCTTGGTCCGCCACAATCTTAACAACGTTGTCACCTTCATCGTCATCAAAGCGAACTTCCACGGGTTTGCTGTATGTGTTGCCAACTCGCGAGTTCGCGTCCGGGTCATTCATATCTAGCGATAACGTCATCAGAGCGACTGCAAGTCTCCAGAGTACTATGCTACGTAGACCGTACCGTGATGAATTAAAGCTTGAACGAAGAGTTCATTGGCGAACACATCGAGGTTCTGCGGTACGAAGCCCAGCGCCTCCGGTGTCGAGTACTCGGTACTCTCAAACTCAATCATGTCGCCCGGCTGCAGATTTCTCTGCAGAAAACGAGAAAAAAATTAAATTACCTGCTAGCGCTAAAGTACTACTTCACCAAACTTCACGACGTACGACGTCCTTGGCGAAAATCGGACGAGGGGATTCCAGATCGAAGGCTTCGAAGCGCGGCTCCGGTTCCGGACTGGGGGCGAAGAAGAGGACCACACGACCGTCTTCAATCGGCTCCTGGCCTTCGTAGGTGACACGGAACACGAAATTCGACTTGCGAGAGCCCTGTCGAGCAATAGAGACGTAAGTATTTGACACACTTTGGATTCTTACGATCGCATTGACTCACCTCCGGATAGGAATAGTAGCTGCGGGCCGTAGCATGGCGGGAAAAGTCCGAGAAAACACTCTTCAGAGCGCGGTTCATGGTGCTCCTTGACGTTGACTTGCGGCTCCGGCGACGAAAGACAAAGTGACGATGTGTCCGACAAAAATGGTCAGATATTTTTTCTTTTGGCCTCAGATGCTGAGGCCAGAAGAAAAAATGTATGGTGAACTTCTCAAAACACAAATTCTGAGAGGATATCGACGCTGATTGGCCAAATCAAATACACGTAAAGGCTCGTGAAGCGCAACCCTCACTATAATATCATTTCGAAATCGACCATCATGGCTCCAATTGCGTACGACCCGGAGAATATCTTCGCCAAGATCATTAAGGGCGACATCCCATGCTACAAATTGTTCGAGACCGAGCACGTGTTGGCCATTCTTGACGCCTTCCCGGTAGCCCCAGGCCATGCGCTGCTTATTCCTAAGGCTCTGGGTTTCGCCACGGTCACGGACATGACTCCTGAGGTGGCAGCCAACCTGTTCAAGGAGCTGCCGCGTCTGGCCAAGGCCGTACAGGCGGCCACGGGTGCTGATGGTCTCAACATCATCCAAAACAATGGTGCGGCGTCGGGTCAGGCCGTCTTCCACGCGCACATCCACGTGATCCCGCGCTTCGACAAGGACGGCCTCATCACGCTACCGAACGGCCCGAGCATGATCAACAAGGAGGACGGCGAGGCCATGCAGACCAAGATCCAGACCAAGCTCTAGACTACATGCAGTCATAGTATCCACCCAGTTTAGGGTGGACTCTTTCCGTTAGTTGGCAACAAATTATTACCCTTGGATGCTATTTAGGCAACTAGTTGCAACCCGGTCGTTATTTTCTCTCATGACGAGTTGTGTATTTCAAGAATGGTTTGGTTTCTCGTGACCGGTCCATTGTTCAAGAGCTCAACCGCCGACCACAGCGATTGTGGAAGCATCTGATTGAATATGACTGTGTTAGAGTCCGTGATCGGCTCGGGTGCTGCACGTGTGACCGACGTGTCGGTGGATGCCGAGTCGACGTACAGGACAGTGCAGGTGGGTGGGTCTCCTGTCGCTGCATCGACCGGATGGACCCCCAAGATGCTCGCAGAGGCAGCGGCAGGTCTGGGTTCATCGACCATGTCCATCTTGTCGGCCGTTAGTGACGTCGTCCCAGGAGACAACACTGGAGCTCTGGGGCTACCAGAAAGCGGCGCTCGCTGCATCTACGTCAACAATTCCGTCCAAAACGCGGCACAGAAGTTCTGTAACAACAAGGTGGTTACTGCTAAATACACGAAGCTCAACTTCCTCCCTCGGTTCTTCTACGGTCGACTCTCGCAAGTGGCAAACTTTTACTTTTTGCTGGTTGGTGCCGGTCAGATTATCCCCGAGATTTCGTCCACGCAGACGATTCCGTACCAGTGGATTGTGCTCACGCTCGTGCTGTCGGTCGACGCTGTGTTTGCAGCTATTGAAGACCGCGGACGGCACATTGCAGACGCCAAGATGAACGCTCGCGTCTCGCACATCTTCGATCTGGAAGAACCGGATTGTTTTCGTGACGATACGTGGCGAGCTGTTGCCGTGGGGGACATTATCAAGGTGGAAAACTACGAAGCCATCCCAGCAGATGTGCTGTTGCTCGCCGTATCCGAGCCGGACCCGAATGCTCCGACCGGAATTTGCTTTGTGGAGACCAAGTCGCTAGATGGCGAGACGAATCTCAAGGTGCGTCAAGCGCTCAGCTGTACGTTTTCGCAGCTGAGCGACCCGCGAGCTCTTGCTCAACTTCCCGGTCGGCTCATCTGCGAGCTGCCAAACCACGACGTCAACACCTTCTCCGGACGCTTTGAACCGCAGAGTGGCCACGCAATTCCGATCGACTTGAAGAACGTGGCGTTGCGCGGCTGCGTCATCCGCAACACCCCGTTCATCTACGGTCTCGTGTTGAATACTGGAGCTGACACTAAGATTATGCAAGCTGGATCGCACACGCCTCCCACCAAGATCAGCAAGATCCTTGCCATCGTAAACCGAGGCAACGCGTTGCTGATGGCTATTCTTGCTGTCTTGTGCATCTTAGGCGCAGTATTGTGTGTGTTTTGGGTCGCTGAACACCGCGAAGGTGCCACCTACTTGCATCTCGAGAATCTCAGCGGCGTCGCTCCTTTCCGTAATGACGTTGTAGGTATCCTGATATACCTGGGCTACTTCTGGATCCTCATCGCGTCCTTCGTCCCCATTACGTTGTACGTGACCATCGCCATTGTGAAAACGTACCAAACGTTCTTCCTCAATCGCGATCTTGGCATGTATGACGAAGTGACAGACACGCCGGCACTTGTTCGTAACTCCGATCTCAATGATGAGCTGGGGCAGGTCACTCACATCTTCAGCGATAAGACTGGTACGCTAACAGCAAACGAGATGGATTTCCGTAAGATGAGCATCCACGGCGTGTCGTATGGACGCGGCACCACTGAAATCGGTCGTGAGGCCACACGACGTCTTGGCAAGGATATCTCCGCAAGCGATGTACTAGCAGACAACACGCCGATATTAGTCAAGACGGACAACGTGAACTTCATAGATCCAGCCGGAGACTTGGAGCGCGACAGCGACGCACGCTTGCACCCGGAACAAGCTGCTCGTATCCACGACTTTTTCGTTCACTTGGCTGTCTGCCACTCCGTTGTGCGAGAAACGTTGTCCGAGAACGACACGGGCACAGGCTTCTCAGCCTCGTCACCTGACGAGCTTGCACTTGTGTCGGGTGCCAATTACTTTGGCTACTCGTTCCTGGCTCGTCGGAACGGAGAAGTGGCAATTTCGGTCCCTGGCACGCGAGAAGAGGTCGTCTACGAACTCTTGGAGATGGTCGACTTCACCAGTACTCGTAAGAGGATGTCGGTCGTCGTGCGCACTCCTGACAAGCGCGTGATGTTGTTAACCAAAGGTGCCGACTCGGTTATCTTCCCTCGACTAGCACCGTCATCAGATCCGACGATCGTGGATACTACACTCGCGCAGTTGGAACGATACGCTACGGAAGGACTGCGAACTCTTGTGATCGCACAGAAGGAGCTCTCTCCAGACGCGTATGCCGAGTGGTCATGCGAGTACGATGCAGCGTTGGGAGATCTGGAGCAAATGGCAATGCAGAAGCGTGGCGAACCGAATCGCATCGAAGAGCTTGAAGAGCTACTAGAGCAGGGGTTGCAGCTTATTGGCGCTACCGCCATCGAGGATCGATTACAGGACCAGGTCACGTCTACACTGGGAGATTTATCTCGAGCTGGTATTAAGATCTGGGTGCTCACTGGTGATAAGGAGGAGACGGCAGTGAACATCGGCTTTGCTTGTCAACTGCTGAACAACGACATGGAACGGATCATGATTAACGCGGAGACGACGCCCTCTGCCTCTGACCTGTACGACATGTTGCTGATTCGTTGTATGGAAGCTCGAAAGCGTGCAGAGCTGAAGGCGAGGGGAGCCAAAGACGACACGCAACAACAAGCCATCGTGATCGACGGTCGTTGTCTGACCTTGGTGTTCAGTAACAATGTGCTGTCCGAGCTGTTCCTCGAGGTGTCCCAGCAGTGCGTGTCTGTCATTTGTTGTCGCGTTTCGCCCAAGCAAAAAGCTCAAGTGGTTCGGCTCTTTAAGACGAACTTGCACGGCTGTCGCTCGCTGTCCATCGGCGACGGAGCTAACGACGTCGCAATGATCCAAGAAGCGCATATCGGCGTCGGAATCTCCGGTCACGAAGGCATGCAGGCCGTGAACGCAAGTGACTTCGCTATCGCCCAGTTCCGGTTCCTCAAGCGTCTGCTTCTTGTCCATGGTCACTGGAATTATCGTCGCATGGCCAAGCTGGCACTGTACGTGGTGTACAAGAACATCTTACTGTTCGGAACCGAGTTCGTGCTGGCTGTGTTGCCTCAATGCGGATCCTCCGGCACGCTTTACTTCAACAACATGTGGATCAACGGCTACAACGTCTTTTGGTCCTCAATGCCCATCGGTATCGTGGCGATCACAGAGCAAGAGGTGCCGGCACGTATCGCAGAGCAGTTCCCCGGCCTGTACCACGTCGGAGCTCAAGGCGAGCTCTTCAGTCTTCGTATCTTCGCGCAGTGGGTAGCTGAGGCACTCTACGAGTGCGTAGTCTGCGGGCTGGTACCGGCACTTATCATCGGCGGGCCCGTAGATTCCACTGGCAATGGCTTCTCCCGTGACTTGTGTGGCGCCATTTCTTACTGCTGTTTGATCAGTGTTGGCTGGGTCAAACTGGCGTTGAACATGGTCACATGGAACGCCATCACGGCGTTCGCGTTCATCGCATCGATCATCTTCTGGTACATTTCAGGCTACGTCATCGCCGCATCATTCCCGACGTCAGTAGCCGACACTGCGTTCCCACACATTTTCGTTCTACCCGAGTTCTACTTAGCAATCTTCTTGTCTCTGCTGTTGTGTCTCGGACGTGACTTTCTCTGGACAGCTTACAAACGCGAGATGAACCCCGAGTACTATCACATTCTCCAGGAATTCCACCGACGCGGCAGTCAAAACCCCGACAAGGCTCGATGGACGCCACCTGAGCTGCGCTACGAGCGCTTCCAAGCTGATCTGACCGAGGAGAAGCCACGTTTCGACCTGCCTGAACAGCAAGCTTTACCCAACCAACGACCGTCTCATGCGGATCAGAAGGTATACACCGGTTTCGCCTTCTCGACTCAACTTCTCGAAGATCGCTTCCTAAATCCATTACGTGAGATGGTTCTACCCGTCAGTCAAGTCGCAAACGCTATCGGTAGAGTATTGTCGCCCGGTGGGAGCCCCATTACCCGCCATAATCCCGACAGCCCGACGCGTCGTGAAGCTGCTGATGAACCAAAGTCGTTCGAAGACAAGATCTTGGCATTACCCATCGAGGAACAGGCAGTGTATGAGATCCAGCGTTACCAAGTGTTCACCGGATGGGGATCACTGCGACCAGGCCATCTTCTAATTACTGACCCACCCAAGTTCACCAATGCTCTCATGACGGACGGTGCTGGTACCTTCGATCTCGACCACTGGGTTGTCGATCCACGCTTCGGTGGCTCCGATCAATGGCAATACGCCACTAGATTCAAAGACTTCTTGCGTGCCCAGGAGAAGTTACAGCAGGAAACAATTGAAGGCGTACCACCAGAGCTCCAAGCTCATGCGAGTGGACTTGATCCGGATCTGCAGGAGCGACGACGCATCAAGAAGAAGCTTAACAAACTTGTCGGACGCAGTGTACGTCGTCGTCGCTGGGTACGGAAGGAGAAGCTGCTTGCCGAGGCGATAGAGCGCGCCAACATTGCCTTGGCCGCACCGGATCCGGAGTCTTCACTTCCTCGTACGCCTCCCAACTCTCCTCCTTCTCAATAGGCTGCACAACTTGCATATTAGTTCAGCATATAATCTATGGCCACTTACTCGCATTCATGAAGATATTTTGTTGTTAAAAGAACTGCCTCATCAAAGCAGTGCAAAGCGTAGTGGTAGGTCGATCCGAGCAAAGCAGCCGAAAGTAACCACAACTGTCACAGCTGTGAGGTACCAGAACTGCGCATGGAAGTCTTGCAACATAAGCTGTTGTATCCAAAGTCGAGCCGACATGCCGTCAATGGATCCGCTGATAGGATCAGGTTGATCACCAATGTCCTCAGGAGACGAGCGTAATCGTGAGCGCAGCTTGAATGTGAATATTTCTCGAGCTAGGAACGAACCACCAAGTCGTCCAATGAACATACAGACACACCGTAGCCACAAATTCGTCTGGTCTTGTAGTACAGTAAGAGTGCTCCCCGGCTTCTCAAACACCGCCAGCAGCGTCAGAAGTGAGGGCACAAGGATAAGTGCTGTCGTATCGGCCATGTTGTCTTGCTCTGCAACCTTCATTAGGAAGTACAGCGGTCTCAAAGCGTCACTAGTGGCTACTTTTGACTCAGCATTTGTTGCTGACGGTGTCGAAGCCACATTCTCGGTATCAGATCGAGAGCTTGTACCGTCACCACACTTTCGACAGTTCATCTGTGCACGAGAGCACTTGTCACGAAGAGATGACGCCTTCCTCACGCCCATATTGCGAGACGGCGAAGAAAAATCAGTCGATGGGTGGGTATCTCTCCGCACTCCGCTCACACTGCGGTCGCGTTCACGATTCCGGCTTCGAGTTTCTTGCCAGGACGGCAGCTCGCCAACGACAGGCTCCTTTTCGTCAATATTCCTGGTCACGATGAAGCCGTCCGAGCCGTATCCATTGTCGAACTCGTAGTCATCGTCGCCACCTTCCAGCAGATCGGACTCTGTGTCCATCGCTGCAACGCCAGCCACACGGCAGCTAGGCCCCAACACCCCTCGTCGTCCCCATGAACGTCGATGTGGAAGACACCTTGAAACATCCAGAGCTGAGGTCGTGGAGCGCACACAAAAAGCCACCGACGAGGTGATATTGGAGTGTAACGGGACGGCCAACCACGCTGAAGATGTGCGCTTGAAGTCCGTGTACACGCCTGTATTAAGAAAGGCTATATGGATGTTGTTCAGCAGCAGCATACCCCAGTACAGCGCGTCAATGGGCGTGTCCGAGCCCACAAGACAGTACCAGAACGTGTAGTAGTAGAGCTGACCAATATACAGCAGCGACGGGTGTGCAAAGGGCTCCGACATGCTGTTCACCGTCGTCGTGATTACAAAGAAATAGCCTTGCATCAATAGCAAGTACAACACAGAGATGGCCAGTTTAAGCCACGACTCGGTGCTTGTCGGAGACGACGCAGCTGGGTCCTCAGCGTAGGAAAATAGTCGCACACACAAGTGGCCAAGAAACAACGGGACGTGCACAACCAGAGTACTATACGCCACTGCATGCTCAAAACTGAAGCGAATTCGTGCCACTCGGGAACAAAACAGCACAATGCACAGTACTGGCGACAGTAAGTACAGTACAAACCACGATCTTGTCCCCGCTTCTCCTCGTGCTGAACTGTACGACGAGAACATGATGAGCCACAGCACCAGCGCACAGAAGCCGCAGCCATACAACAGCCTAGTCATTGTGGGTTCTCCCTGTCGTTGCATCTCCAGCTCTCTCAGTCTGTCGGATGATCTCTGTCTCGCCAAAATTCGAATGTCTCCATCGTCCACATCTTCGCTCTCCTCGGGTACGCCTCGCATCCTGTCCTGTTCCTGCTCCATGATAAGGTCATCGTACTGGGACCGTGCTGTTCTGGGCTGCATACTGAAGAACAATGGTACGGCTCCCAGCGCCACAATACCGAACAGAGTATTGCCCACAATCCACGAGTATCTGCTGGCTGGAAGACTCATATACCACTCTACAAGGCTGATCGCGAAGCTGATTGCTGCTAAACTGTACCAGATCCTTGTATGTGGCTCTCCATCTGCTGCTTCGAGGCCTGAGAACCGGAATACCAATAGAAACGGCGTCGTCACTAGCGCTAAGTTGCACATGTACCACATTGGGTTCACGAGAAGTGAGTACGCGCCGTGACCGAACTGACCTGCGACGCAGAGCAACGTAAGCAGCACGAGTGACACAAGAGGAAACGTTGCGCGCCATAAGAATAGGTTCCATTCGCTGTGCGTCTCCGGGCCATGACGGAATTTTTCAAGCAACTCAAGCGCTGCGTGAGATTGACGTCGTGCGCGTCGTGGACCGGCTGTGAGGAAACTCCAGACACTGCTGCGTGCGGACGGGATGGACACGGCGCTCGGTAAGCTGCTGGTATGCGGCGTCCGGATAAGCTTGAAAATTGACGCGAGCAGCGCCACGCTGCCATGCCAGACATGCGCCCAGGCGCCCATAGTAATACAACTGAAATGACCTGACTATTTAGAGTTGCCGTGATTATGTTGCTAGATGATGTGCAGAACATCGTAAAGCAACGCAAGGACGAATCAGCTACGCTTTCAACGCCAGTCACTTGGGAATATTGCGCGATCGACCTGTAACGGTATTTAAGCATGGCGACCGACGCTCTCCACGTGGACCGTACGCAGTCGAATGCAATGAACTTGCAGGTGCTGAAGCGACAAGATGCTGACGTGGTGGACATTGTGGACACGGCCAGCCACGTGGTCATGTACGAGTTCGATCAGGACGCGCAGAGTTGGGTGCGTCACTATGGATCGGAGGAGGGAGAATACTGCAGTGCTAACGTTCTAGCGTCTGTATCTGTGCCGCTAATATTGCAGAAGCGTAAGGATGTCGAAGGCTGCTTGTTTGTGGTCAAAAGGTGCGTAAAAGAGAGCGCTGGAACGCGATAGATTGTGAAGTTGACATTTATGTTGCTGTTGTTGCAGATCGTCCGCGCCGCGCTTCCAGATCTTCGTCAACAACCGCTTGAGCACAACCAACATGACGCTGCCGCTAGACGATCGTCTTCAGGTGGACAACGTTGATAGTTTCCTCATCTTGCGCAGCCCTGACACGGTAGGCCGACTGCTTCTTTTTGGTATATCTAGCAGTCGAACCTAATAGTAGTGCACTGCTTCTTGTACTAGGCATATTCGTCGGGTTACGCGATCTACGGCGTGTGGTTCTTCCCGGACGAAGACCGCGGCAGGATCCTACAGTTGCTCCAACGGTAAGATACTTTTTGACTAGGACATCGTGTTGAAGTCGCCTGCTGACTGTGAAATGTCGATGCTGCAGCCTGATTCAGTCGCTGAAGGCCCCACAGAGCGCTACCATTCCGGATGCTTCGCATACGATAGCACAGTCGCCCGTCCAGATGCAGAATGCGAAGCAACAGACGTCACAGCCAACGCAGCAGCAGGAACAGCAGCAGGAGCGCCCGCCGTCACAGTCGCGTAATCGGGGACGTTCTCGCAATAAGCGTGAAGACTCAAAGCGCCGCGGAGCGAACGCCAATCAACCCATAGCGATCTTGCAGCGATCTCCCAAGGACAAGCGTAGCAACAGCAGCAGCAGTGGCGGTAGTGCGAATGGCTCGGCTAAGCAGGAGAATGCCCAGGCGAGTGGTATGCTTCCAATCTCCAAGGCAGACGGTATTGCGGCGGGTGAGGCCATCATGGGCATGATCTCGCAGAACCGACCTCAACAGCAGCACAAGCAGCCAGCTTCGCCTGTGAACAAGGAGCAACTTAAGCAGACGCTGATCGGCCTTCTGGACGACACTCAGTTCTTCGACCAGATCTACCACGCGTATGTGAACCGTGTGTCGAACCGAGGATGATACTGTGAGTGACAATTGGGCGTAGATACAAGTAGCGTAGGCAACGATGGCTGCCATTGATGGTCGTTGATTTAGAACTTGAGCTGACACCCCACCCACCTCCACGAGTTTTTAAGGGGGTGGTTTGGTGCGCACGCAGAGATCCGTCTAACCCACACACACACTCATTAACATGGGATCACGTTTGCAATGCGATTGTATTTAAAGTTGCACTGCGATAATCGGATGGGGACGTCTGAGACGACTGGCGGAAATCCGTTCACACGCTTCGCGTTCGCTTCGGCCCGTACACAGAGCAGCAGCAGCCATGCGGACGTAAAGGTGGAGGTAACAACGCCTTCTTGTAGGAGCTCTACTGCCAAGCGTGCTAGAAATGAGGAGACTTCTCCCGTCCGTCCGACGAAATACATGAAGACAGAGCCTGAGTCCGAGATACAAGTGGAAACCAGGCAACGCACTGGCACCTCCCAGTCCGATAGGCGACTGGATCTGTTGCTGGAGCTCTATGAAGCTCGAAAGATCATGGAGACGTCGATCGACAAGTTCGGGACGCAAGTCTGCGTAGCTCCTGGCGTGACCTACGCCAAGGTCGAGCGTTTCCAGCTGTTAGTGGCGGCGCTTTTGAGCTCTCAGACGCAAGATCCAATCACTTACGCTGCGATGCAACGCCTGCATCAACTCGGAGAGAGCGAAGAAGGACTCACTATTGAGGTGGTGCAATCCGTAAGCGAGGAGAAGCTGAGCGAAGCACTGAAACCCGTGGGATTTTACCACCGCAAGGCGCACCAGCTCAAGCGTGTGGCTGCCATCCTGCGCACTCGATTCCACGGAGACATTCCTCGCTCACTTGATGAGCTGCTTCAGTTACCAGGTATTGGACCCAAGATCGGTCGAGTCATCACGTTGCTTGCATGGGGTCAAGTGGACGGCATCGTGGTGGACACACACGTGCATCGTCTCGCTCAACGACTAGGCTGGTCATCGACGACAACTCCTGAAGATACGAGAAAGGAGCTGGAAGATTGGATCCCAAAAGAACACTGGGGCAAGCTCTCCCTCGTAGTCGTGGGCTTTGGCCAGACCGTGTGCACAGCGAAACATCCGTCCTGCTCCAAGTGTCCATTAGCTACAAAATGCCCCAGCGCCTTCAAGGTAGTCGCGTCAAACAGCAAGAAGAGGACCTCGCAAACGAACAAGAAGCACCAAGTTACAGACAAGAAGTCCAGCACGTGAACCAAGTTTTAAAAATACGAGCATTTTATTATTGCGTGAAGCTGCGCCGTCCAGAGCAGTGACATCACTTCAGTTATTATAGTAGTGATACAATGATGGTTTCCTTTTTTCCTACGCCGCCTGAGAGTACACCACAAGCAGCAACAGGAAGCAAAAGCCCACCGCGATGAGGGCCACCACTGCTAGGGCGCGGTCCACTACCTCGTCCATGTTCTCTTGCTTGCGTCGGTGCGTCAGCATCTGCGTCGACAGTGAGGTGGGCAGGGTGCTGGAACTGCGCGGCACCAGGAGATTGCCCGCAGCCGAGAGCGACACCATCCAGCTGCCAACGGATCGCAGCAGCTTGAGCGGCTCGACACTGACTGTAACGCCTCTAGCCACCTCCCCCAGATCCTCCTCGTCCTTGCGTCGTCGGCGTTTTCGACGAATTGCCGCTCCCTCGTCGAACTGCGGCCGCATGTCCCGATGCGGCAACAGACCGCCTAATTCTTCGCCCTCCAGGCTTCCGTCGCTCTCGTCCTCGCTGCCGCTGGCCATAAGTGGCTGCCATAGCTTCCCCACATCGTCATCCATCACGGTGCAGCCCTTGCGCGGGTACGCGGTCTGGAAATGCCCCCACACGACGTTCATGACGAGTTCTTTCTTGGTAGTCGAGTGGTTGGGTCTGGTTCTGATTGTGGCGCTTCAATGCTCTAGAGACGCAGTACCGTAGCTCGAGTAAAAGCCGTCCGCAGCTTCGTGGATACTCACCTGGCAACGTACTAGCCGAATGACCTTTCCAGATCGTCTCGATGGACTTTGTGATCCCACTACCGAAATCTCGCAGGGGCAACACCGCGTTGCTCCTATTTCAGTGCTCGTTCCTAGGATCCTTTTTTCATCTAACATCCCGTACTTTGCGTGCCCCAATCCGTTTGAGCAGGTTCACCTCACGATGGAGGACACGCTTTGTCGTGAGCTGCAGCAGCTCTCGCCCGAGCAGCTACGGGAGCTGCTGAACGCCAGTGGACACGGTCAACTGCTGGCACATGATAAGCCTGCGGTGCATGAGCAGCTCGTGTCGGAAACGAAGAACGAGGGCAACGCTTTCTTCCGCCAGGGCCGCCTGCATGACGCCATCTCCTCCTACTCCCGGTCTCTTCAAATTCGCTTTGCGTCTAATGAATTTAGCTACAGTAATACTGACCATTGCCATCGATTATGATTTCTATAGATGCATCGAAATGGACCCAAGCAACGCGGTTTGCCTCTCGAATCGAGCTGCAGCCTACCTGAAGGTCTATAAGTACGCTTTTGCTGCAGTGAGAGCTTTATTCTGACTGGTAACATTTCCCACTACAGCTGAAAGAGTTTAAGCTTGCAATAGCAGACTGTTCCATGGCAATTGAGGTGGCGCCGACAATTAAGGTGCAAACAAATAATCGATTAGGTTTCCATAACGATGACTTTGCTGACGCATGATTGCAGCCATTTATGCGTCGAGCGACGGCGCATTTTGCGCTTGAGCAATACGAACAAACAGTTGCCGATCTAATAGTAGCACTGGAGTTTGAACCGCGTAACAAAGAGTGCTATGCAAAGCTCCAAGCCATCGTGGATGCCGCTACAACCTTTCTCCAGCGTGGGAACGAAGCAGACGCGGAACTACGCAGAGCAGGCATTCGTGCTGCATTGATATGCTCTGTCCGTGATGGCTGGTCAATGAGCGCTGTGCGGGGCAACCCAGGGCCTGCTGCTGTGAATGGACACACGCTTTTCAGAGGAGACAACGGCCGCATCTTTCTCTTTGGTGGACGATCAGTACGTGAGCAAAAGCCGGATTTATTCATGCTAGGCGAGAGCGACAACTCAAGCTGGGACATAGTACCGACTCAAGGTGCATGTGTCCCTTCATCACGGTCTTGGCATACAACTTCAGCTATCGGCAAAGAAGGGAGCGAGTTCTATTGCGTTTACGGCGGCGTCTCGTCACGAGGTGAGGACCCCAGCGTACATTTGCTCGTACCAGCTTCACCTCGTGGCTTTCGATGGGTACAGCCATATTGTTCACAGGTCGCACAGGAGATTCCAGCGCCCCGATCAGGCCACGCAGCGGTGTCTGTCGTGGACGATGATGGCGACCGAATCGTTTTCATGTTTGGCGGACGAACGAAACGAGGCGTGAGCGATCAATTACTGGTCTTACGTTTGTCAGCAGCCAGAGCGGATAGTAACGCAGACCCGGTGGATACAACGATTACTTGGGAGGAGATTGACCCTAACAGAGCTGGATCTGCCTGGCCTTCTGCTCGGGACGGCCATTCGATGTGTTTAATACCAAGCGTGGCAGACCAAGCGCCTCGACTCGTTGTCTTCGGTGGCAATGGCCAGCTTAACGATGATCGGATGAATGACGTGTGGTTATTCAATGTGGAGAAGCAGCTTTGGACACTTCTGCAGTGCTCTGGGGATATCCCACTTCCACGCTCATACCACACAGCTCACACAATTGGCGAGTTTCTTTTCGTTATTGGCGGACGAACTGCCGAATCCGAGGACGACAGTGTGTACATGCTGGACACTGAAGCTGCCAAATGGGTCAAGGTACCAATCCCCAGCGATCACTCTTTGACTCCTCGCGCATGGCATTCCAGCGTCTTCATCGATACTGGCAAACTGTGTGTACTGGGCGGCGGCACTTACCACGGCCCTCTAAAAGATGCTGCTACATTGGATCTCAGTTTCTTTCATCTCACTGCATCTTCACTAAGTCACGTTGAACAACTCAAGAAACTCGACACGTAATTCAAAGGCAGCAACGCAAACGCAAAGGGTTAACTCTAAGCAAGAAACGTTTGGCAGTAGTGCAGTGCAGTCTCAATAAGGCAAACTGAGGGGACGTTATGCGGGGATGTTTCTCGCGATCTGGTTTGCTGTAGCTTGGGCCAATTCAATGTAGGAACCAGCGATACTCACCGACATCATCTTACGAAGTTCTTTGGTCAGCTTTCGAGTGAATTGATATGTTACCTGAAGCAACTGCGTTGTGGTAAGTTCCGCTGAATGCTTGCTGCTTGCGAGGTAAATGCAATTGTGAGATTGATACGAGCTAGCTACAACTACCTAACACCCTGCTTGCTTCTAGTGCTGGCATTGGTTGGCTTCGAGCGTCCGGCGTCAGGGGTTGCAGTTCTCGCCATGGTTGTGGTTGTCGTCTGGATTCCAGATAGCCTCGTTGCATCTGGAGATGCAATGTAGGCTGTGCGTTTGCCTACACTGCCTCCCAAGACGACATCCATGATGAATATGTAGAAATAAAACTTGACGCCGATAATAAACCAATAGAAACGATCCACCTATAGAAATCCCTCAGCCTTGATAGAAATTTGTCACCATCGCGGGTAGACAGGTCATCTATGAGACGGGGCGGTGATACCGGTCAAGTTGCACTTCAACACGTTGAAGTTGGTCCGTAATACCTACTAGCGGTCGAATTATTTGGAGCTAGATTGCACCAGAGCATTGTAGGCACGTACAAGCATGGTGTCGCCGCTGGAGTGCACATATTGCTCCACACGTGAAGGTACGTCCTTAAGGAGCGCTACCAGCAGTTCCCACGAGTCTTCTTCATCCTGCAATCCTTCCCACGACACCCAAAGCTGCCATGCGTTGCCTTCCTTACGGTGACTGGTGAATTTCTCGACTCCGAGGACCATGCCCTGGTTGCCAACATGAGCCAGTAACTCCTCGCCGACTTCTAGACTAGAGTCCGCGTAGAATTTAAGCCGCGAACCGTGCACTACGTAGCGCTTGCTCGTCACTAGGTGACGGATCCTGAACGAGTGGGGTGCCGTGTCGACGACTTCAAATGGTCCTACCCATCGAGCCAAAAGTATGTTAACGGCAAGTCGGGAGTCGATACGCGACCATAGTACGAAATCACCCACGCTAAAATTGCACTCGGTTCCCTTTGACCGAACCATATTCTGCAGACGTCGCTTTTCGCGCTGGTCTACCACCTCCATGTGCAAGCCAGCCAGGCTTGCACGCAGTTGCTCTAGTTTCTCAGCCGGCGGCGGCGACGTGTCCAGCACTTCAGTGCCCATACCGCGCTCTAGTAAAATAGGCTCAAACGGGGTTGGTCGTGGTAGTCCAGTAAAAAGCTCGCTCGGGGACTTGTCGCCCAACGACCTCACTGGGGTATGGTTGAGATTGCCTTGCACGAGCGGCAGTAAGTTGACCCATTCATGAGTGTCCAGTGTATATTCCATCAGTAGGACTCTTAGTACTTGTAGTACATCACGCTTTAGACGTTCCACCGTTCCGTTGATCCATGGCGAATAGGCCACCACCAAGCTCCTATCGATGTCCAGTTTTTTACAGACCTGAGTGATCAACTCACTCTTGAAATGGCTACCTTGGTCTGATATCAAGACCGACGGGGCGCCAAATCGTTTCCACCAGTCCACTAGGGCTGTAGCTGCTACCACACTGGTAGGCGAATCGCATGCCACCAACTCACAGAAATGCGTGAGTCCGTCCTTCAATACCAGTACATACTTGCATGCACCTATACTATCGCCGAGGTAGAGAAAGTCGACATGGAAGAGCTCGTTCCGCTCTTTGGCGTCGTAGGTAGGCCCCCACGGACGAGGGATGATGTTTCCTCCCTTTACGTGCTTGCATAGTAGGCATCTGCTGAGGAACCGACGGCAGACTTGGGCCAGGTTTTCGATCTCGAACAGTTGCTTCACTGCTGTCATCATCGGCTCAATTCCGCTGTGTCCTTGGGCTCCACAGTGAGCAACGATCAGAATCCGTTGTATCAATGCCACTTCAACTTCAGGCACCCATAGTCGTCCACTAGCTACCAGAGTGTCGTTGTCGTCATGTCTCACAGTCACTGGAGCGTCACCCTTATGCTGTCGTTGAGCAGCTTGGATCTCATCCAATGTAGGAAATTCAAATTCGCTAGCACGCAGGTGCACGCGTTGTAGTTGGGCGCTCACTGCCGTGACCTCACGGATTCTGCTACGTGTGATGGCCTTGCACCTCGTTACAACTCCCTCCTCCGCCGAAGGGAGACCCCACCGAAACAGCAAGTCTGCCCACAGATTGGCTGTGCCATCAACGTGCTTGATTTGGTACTGCAGTCCCGTCATGGAGAGCGCCCAGCGTTGGAGTTTCCCACGCATGTGGCTCTTTACCTCCTGATCTGGAGCGAACACATACACCAGATTCTTGTGATCACAGTAGAGTCGGAACCCATTGCCACGAACGAGCAGGTATGTAAGGTTACGAGACGCCCACATTATGGGGAAGGCCTCTTTTTCAATGATGCTCCAACGTTTCGCAGTATCATCAAACTTTCCGCTCTTGCACACCAGCAGTTCATGCTGTTGGTCGGTCACCTTCACCCCATCAAGCCACTCCCGGACCTGTGTGACGACCAGCCCCCACCCATGCTCCGATGCGTCCGACATCAGCACGATCGACGCGTCCGGCGACGGATAGTGTAGGGTTTGAGATGTAGTGAGCAGCCGACGAGCATCCTCAAAGGCCGTCGTATCCTCGACACTCCACGTAATGTCCGCTCCGGCAGCGAGTCGTTTAGTTCGCCCAACCACCTTCAACACTGCTTCTAATTTGTCGTGCAGAGGCTGTATCACACGGCTGAAGTCCATGAGCGAGTCACGCATCCAGCCGGTTGCACAGAGAAATTGTTGTAAGTCGGCAGCAGTAGGCGGAAAGGGTAGCTGGCAAAGGCTACTGAGTCATTCAGGGTCATGATACACGCCGACACCATTGAACACACGGCCACATCACCTGGCTTCATTTCGAAAAAGAAAACTCTTCATCACGCTTAGTTTCAATCCCAACCTGCGTACCCGAGCCAAGAAGCGGCGAAGTGCTTCGATGAATTCCTTAGGTGAGCGCGCATACAACAAAATGTCGTCTATCCAGATCAATAGGTGCGTGCGAAGCATGTCCTCAAACTTGAAGTTCATCTGGTTCTGAAAATGTAAAGGAGAATCCATCGCCCCTTGTGGAACACGACACGGCGTCCACACACCTTCGTCGGTGATAAAACTTATGGGGTCTCTACTGTCTTCATCAAGAGGTAGCTGTGAGAAACCACTTGGCATATCAAAACCAGCGAATCCGTAAGCACCCGCAACATTCTTAGAGGAGGACGTCAGGTCTGCACCTGTGCCCGCGATTGGCACCGTCATTGCGTTAACAGGTCGGTAATCCACCGTCAAACGGAATTCGTTCGGCCGTCCAACCTTCGGGACTGGTACCGCCGCACAAGCCCACAGACTCATGTTGTTGCGGTAAATAAATCCCATTTTCTCTAACATTTGAACGTGTTGTCGAAGGAACGTACTCTGAGCAGTAGAGTATCTGCGTGGCCGCGCTCGGAAAGGCTGAGCGTCGGCTCTTAATGTGATGCGTAGTGGCTCCACATCTGCCGGTGGATCGTCAAGTAAGTCTACACGAAACACATCTTCGTGTTCCAGTACAGTGTCCCGAAGAAACTTTAAGTATTCCTTGTCAAAACCGTTATCACCGGCAGCCACCACCATTTTCTCCAACTTTGTGTGTACCTCACTGGGGGGCAGCACCTTTGGAATCTCCAGATCGAACGGGTCTTCATCTGCAACGGGAGGTCCAGCCGCAAGCTGCGATAATTGGTCGTTGATATCAATGCCCAGGGTTTTCAAAGTGTCGTTACCAAGAATGAAGTCTGTTTCAAGACCTTCCATCACCTTACAGTAAACTTCAGACAAATGTACCTGCCCAGCAACAGTTTGCAGAAGCAAGTCCAAGGTCACAGCTTCACGACATTTCACGATATTTCCCCCTGCAGCACTCTTCTTCTTCACACCGGCCAGTTCCACCACATCCAGGTCTGCCCCAAGGTCAACCAGCTCTTCCAGGTATTGGCGAGGCAAATACGTCTCATCCGAACCCGTATCAGCCAAGTACGGGATAGTCAGTAGGTTATTCACCAAGACTTCACCCGGCGCAGGTATCACTTCAATTTTCTTCACACGTCCACGTGACAGTTCCCGAACCACTTTCATTTTCTCTATGGCCCGAGTCTTGTCATCCTCGCTGGCCACGGGGCAGTCGCGCAGCCAATGAGGTCCCTGACAGTGCCAGCAACCGGTCTTTGGTGGAGGTGCCTCCCTCTTCGGCGGGTGCTGTTTAGTACCGCTACCCGGGCCACCAGTCTTGCTATTCGAGCCGACGGAACTGCCTTGCATCCCTGTGTGCTTCAGCCTTGGCACTGCTTTGCTGGTGCGATCGGTCGTCTTCTCTTTCTTAGAAAACTCGATTTGACATTTTGCTCTTGTGCTATCACGTGGTATTTATGTTGTGCACGTGCTTTCTCTTTGATAATCCCGAACAGCATAAAGTCATTTCGCTTAGCTTCTCGACATTCGTACTTTACGTGCCGACGAACGTCGTCCCGGAGCATTTTTGGCTCCAAGTTGTCGATGAGTACCGTGCACCGCAATTTCATGCGGTCATTGTATCCACTGTCGGCTGGGTCACCCACTCCAAGGATCTTGCTAAGTCCGTTCTCCTTGATGAGCGTTGCGAAGTCCCGATAATACTTGAGAATTCTAGCGTCAATGTCGTCCTCACGGAGGTCGACCTTCAACTGCTGCGAGAAGAAATCATCAAGATCGGGCACCTGGGCGTCTTTCACGGACCCAAGCTTTGCGTCAATCAGAGCAACCAATTCCGTGTTGGTTACATCATCGACGGCCTTACGGAGTTCATAGAGACAAAGTACTTCAAGCAGCTCCGGGTCAACACAAGTCTTCACCGGACGAAGTGCAACCTCCAGTCTCTCACCACTCTCAGTACAACGTTGGTGAGCAATACCAACGTACTGCTCCCATCTCTTCTTCCAACTGACAACAGCGTCCTGGCTCCAGTCGGTCAACTTGGGAGCTTGAACGAACTCGAACACTGGTTGCGGGACGTTATGCATCACTGCATCACCGTCCACGTCGTATCAAGCTTCACTTCCTTGCATATTTTCGCGGTCCTTCTATCCGTCACAGACATATTTCGGGCGAGGACATATTTCGGGCAAGGGGTCCTCACATACAAAGTCTAGTCAATAAGGAGAAAGGAGGCTCAATTTCAATCCTCTCTTTTATTAAAAACTGCTCACCTTGTATAGCACGCGTACCGTTGGCTAAAAAGGCGCGAAAATCTTCTTTCGAACGAGCCATCGCGCGCGCTTCTTCGATCTCACTAGCCAACACACCGACCAAGAGAAAACTTCCTCAAAACCCTCATCATGAAGAAGCCTGTGAAGAAGCAGAAGAAGAAGGTCAAGCGACAAACAGTCTCAATCCACACCTGGACAGCAGCGCTTGCAGCGGTAAACGACGGAATGTCACTGAGCTTAGCGGCAAAGACATACGGTGTATCGCGCGAACCACTTCGCCAGCGCCATCTAGGCCTAGTGCCAATTGTGGCGCGTCCTGGACCTCAACTTGTTTTCATTTCGGAGGGTTGTGACAGAGGGCTGGTAGAAATTATCGTTTATCGAGCGCTTCATGGTATGTGCGTTAGTTTTGACGAGCTGCGGTGCATGCTGCGCCGGGCAGCGGAGGAGACTGGTACCCGTCCATTGACTGATGAACTTCCCAATGACAAGTACATAACGCGATGGATCCAAAATCACCGGGAGATATCCGTCCGTCGCTCTCAGTTGTTGGACGTGAAACGAGCTGAAAGCTCCTCTCCTTACGTTGTGATGAGGTACTTCAACAATTTGAAAGCCGTGTTAACAAAGTTTGATCTCCTGGACAGGCCGGAGTGCATCTGGAACTGTGATGAAACTGGAATCTGCCCTCAGGGACTTGGCAATGAACGCGTAATCTGCCCAAAAGGGCTTCGGGCCAACGTCCAGGCCTCTAGTGACCGCGAAAATACCAGTATAATGGCCTGCATTAGTGCATCCGGAGCTCGAATGTCACCCATGTATATTTATAAAGGCACGTACCGCAAGCTAAACTGGATAGAAGGATCGGAGCCAGGAGCGGTGTGTGCAATGAGCCACAGCTCGAATATTAATGGTAAGCTGTTTTTGAATTGGTTCAAGTGGGTTGTCGAGCAATTGCCGCCTGCGCGGCCGCAACTGTTGATATTAGATGGTCATCGCACATTCAATTTGAAGCTGTGAAGTATGGCCAAGAACATGACGTGCATATTTTCGTGCTGCCTGCACATACCTCGAACTTCCTCCAACCTCTAGACGTGTCTGTGTTTGGCTCGTTCAAGCGTCGATACCAGTCAGCTTTAAAGCAATTCCCATCAACACACAACTACATGCTGCCAACCAAAGACAAAATTGCTGAAATTTCCCGCGATCCGTTGATGTTGGCGTCCCGACCTGAAAATGCAAAACGAGGGTTTGAGAAGGCAGGTATATATCCATTGTCGATGGATAAAATGATGAAAGGGATTGTCGGTAACGCACCTGTGGTGACCCGTGATTCGATGCCACATCTATCAATAATTCTAGGCCAGATTACCCCTCCTTCAGGACGGTTAACCGTCACTAAGCGCCAAAAGCGAGTCCTCCGCGAAATGGATTTGGATGTGGAAGGACTTAACTTGGTCAATCTTCTGCGTACTTCAGCCACAGCTCTAATACCGCCGAAGCGAAAACATGGGAAGTGGTAGACGAAAACTATTCTGGTGGCGACTTGTTGAGCTATGAGGAGATGAAAGCTGCTGTTCAAGCTAAAGAGGACGCCAAAGCGCTGAAAGAGGTCAACAAAAAGTCTGCTCCACTCGAAAAGAGAGAGCAAGCGGCAATGAACCTGCACGACAAAAAACAATATCAGACCGCAAGAACACAGCTGGTACTGCAACGGGAGGAAAAACGCCACGCGAAGGCGCAAAAAGCTGCTCACCGAACTAACAAGAAGGATCCAGGTGCGTCGAAACTGCGCAAGATGCCGCCTCCCGCAAGCAGCTTTCTGCTAAACGTGCGAACAAGTGGGGAATGGTTGTGTGATCGTACTTATTCAGGAGGTCACGGTGCTCCATAGTTAAGTCGTGCTGCCTGAAATGTGTCAGAAGCCCTATCGAATGCATACAAACTTCAATATACTTGAATTCCTGCCCGAAATATGTCTGTGACGGATAGGACTAAAGTTAACTTTGTGGTAAGTTCCGCTGAATGCTTGCTGCTTGCGAGGTAAATGCAATTGTGAGATTGATACGAGCTAGCTACAACTACCTAACACCCTGCTTGCTTCTAGTGCTGGCATTGGTTGGCTCCGAGCGTCCGGCGTCAGGGGTTGCAGTTCTCGCCATGGTTGTGGTTGTCGTCTGGATTCCAGATAGCCTCGTTGCATCTGGAGATGCAATGTAGGCTGTGCGTTTGCCTACACGCGTCGACTGATGACTCGGGGTGATGGCACTTCTCGTGGTAGCGTCCAAGTAACGAGCAGCACTGCTGCTCTCATTGACAGCAGGCAGTATTCGATTCGGCTTGCGGCACTTTACGGGGGATTGTAGACAGTAGACGGTGATCTACGTGTATGTGTTTGCAGTTGTCATGTCGACAGTCGACTGCGATAGCTGCGATCTAATGATCTCAAATGTTTGGCTTAGCTGTGTTAGGGTCACTGTTCTTGGAGACCCAAAGAGCTGCTAAGAGTTCGTCAAATTGGTCTACGTGTAGGCATATCCTCAACATATTGCCCCCCCCCCCTCCAATTGTCAGAGTCCTGCCGTTTTTTTCCTCAATGTACGGGATATATCGTCGATCAGTGTCGTTCGACAGGCCTCGGGGTCGATTAACAAGACTACCCCACGTCATATCCCAGTAGCTCGATTATCTTTTCTTGGCTCATCTCCGAATGAACGTATCGCTTTCGCTTCGTCACTGTTCCGAAAGCAATTCAACCTTGCTTTCGTCGACAGCATCAGGGGCACGAGTGCCTTTGTCAGCTGCGGCCGATTTACCTTGCTTCACCTCTACTGTAGTTGTAGTAATTGACGGAAGGTTAAGCGCACGTTTCATTCGCTTATAGTAACTACGAAAAACTGGAGACGTCTCTCATACTTTTGTCTGCACTGCCGAAAGGTGGAAGGCGCGCTTCCGTGAGACGAGGTGAGAGTTGTTGGCGGGGTCATCTTCTGGAGCTCCGTCGCCCGGTTCATCGCTTCTTCCCTTGTGATCAAAGCTCGGACTCAAGAACGTGGCTGACGAATTGGACGGCGGGTCCTCAAGCGTCTGTGCTATAAGAACTGGATCAAGTTAGTACCCGTACCTAACGTCGCATCCCTCATCAACGTTATCGTTGATTGCTTGTGCACGGTAAGTGCCTGGGGCCTCGAGACTAGAGCAACCGTCCAGGAAGTTGGGCAGCTCGCCACGCAGTCGGTTGTCGCGGAAGTCGGACTCTTTAAGGAATTTAAGCCGCGCGATGCTGCCCGGCACGCGGCCTTCAAGGGCGTTGTCGAACAGGTAGAGATACTCGAGGTCTTCCAGGTCTCCCAATGTCTCGGGAATAGGTCCGCTGAGTTGGTTGCTAGACAGATTGAGGAACTCGAGCGCCTTGCAGCAGCCGATGGACGGCGGGATGACACCTGTCAGCTCATTGTTGCGCAGGGACAGGAAAACCAACGACTGCAAGCGGCCGATCTCTACCGGGACGCGGCCCGTGAGGCAGTTGCCCCGCACGCTGAACTTGGTGAGCTGTGAAAGCTCACACAGAGCGTCGGGTAAAGCTCCACACAGGTTGTTGTGCTGCAGCTGCAAAGTCTTCAGACTCTGCAGCTTGCCCAGCTCCTTGGGCATTGAGCCGGACAGAGAATTCTGGTACAAATTGAGCTCCTGCAGTTGGCCGCAGTCGCCAATCTGGCGCGGAATGGCGCCTGTGAGGTCGTTGCAGCTTAGATCCACGCGCTTTAGGCTCGACAACGTTCCAAGCTCGGCCGGGATTTCCCCGCGCAGCTGATTCTTGGACAAGTCGAGCACGCGGAGCTGCGGTAGCTGCGCGAGACTAGCAGCCGGCAGACACCCGCTCAGCTCGTTTGCCGGCAGCTCCAGCGCCACGACGTGGCCCATGACCACCTTGACGCCGTACCAATGCTCCGGGTCACGCGTGGGCTGCTTCCAGCCGTCGCGTCGCCGCCATCGGTCGCCGTTCAGCGCGTCGTAGAGATCCACGAGCGCCGTCACCTCCGTCGTCGGGATGGAGCTCTGTCCTTGGCCCATGGCTTGTAGATGGCTAGTGTCTTGACTGCGCGATCAAGGCCTCTTATTCTCTCTACCGCTTAAGCCCAAAATGCTGGACAGGGACGCGGCGGTTTCTCCTGCACTTCAAGAATGGGTTCGTCCGAAAGATGGAGCGGACTGACGCAGATCAGACACAAGATGAGGCAGCTCGGTGTGCAGTTCCATCATTACTTCAAGCACGGTGCTGTCGTCGACAGGGCCAACAGTCTGGCACGTTGTGAGCTGCCGCCGTCCCATCTGGTGGAAGCAGGCGAACCAGCGATCGATCCTACGCGCTTCGTCTTCGCGAAGACGACGACGCCGAATGAAAAAAGTAGAAAGCATGGTTCATGGAAGCAAGGATAGAGGATACCCGCAACTACCGCTGGTTGCGTTCATTACGATTAACGTGACTCGTAGACGGATTAATAATTAGGTAGGGACTGACTAGCTGGAGGTCGGAGGCTGCGTATTCCCCCGGCCGCCTTATAGCGCGTAGCTCTGCTGATCTAGCGAGGGCTCGCGGTTGCGTGACATCGCCACGTCGGACTGGTACTCGGGTACGTAGCGCGGAACGTACTGCGGCTGGTGTTCGTTGCCGGCGTTGGCCACGGCTACCTCGAAAGTGGGGCCGTTTACGGACGCGGCTGCAAGCGCTTTTGCTGCCAGCCGCTTTTGTTTGCGCTTGTTGAGGCTGTACGTGATGATGCTGTTCTCTGGTGTTGTAGAGGTAGGCGCGTATGAGCGCGTGAGCTCCTCCTTTCCCGAAAGAGCTCCACGTCGCCTACGTTGTCGAGGCGCTGTGGCTTCGGGTAGCACAGGTCTCCGCGAGTTTTCAGGCATAGGCTCCGGCGTGGGCTCACCCTGACTGCGCGTAGATGTGATTGACGAGCTGTTACTGGAGCTAGCTGAGCCCTTTGTGAGCGAAGCCACGAGTCTGTTGAGATCGAAGGCAAAAGCTGGTTGGAAGGTATGCGGGTCCTTAAAAGGCGCGACACCATCCAGTGCGGCGTTGAGGTCACGACGCTTGGCTACAGCGGGCAGGCGACGCATGGTGGTGGTGCCCCAAGCAGCGGCTACGGTCTCATGCTCGAAGCCGTCGTGGCTGATAAACACAGACATCTCATGCTTGCGCCGGGCCATGGCGTCGGCGGAGATCGGAACATTGTAGTAGTTGCCGCTGCGCGTACTGCGCATGACGGACGTGTAGTGCGGCTCGACCATCATTTTGGTGAGGCGGTTGTTTGCGAATGTACTCTGATCAGTGGTTTAACGACCGAGAGTTTGTAAGTGAGACCCAACGAGATCCGTCGGGTAAGACGCTGCTGCTGTTATGAGGCCGGAGGTACGCGGAGCGGTGAAATAACGGTCGGCCGCGTCTGTCGTAGCGGCTTCCACCAAGATGCTCCTGCGTGCGGGTCGTCAAGTGCTCAAGTGAGTCGTGCCAACGTTGCTGGCGCTCCGGACATGGTTGCTGAAGGCCACGTCTCTCGCCTGTCGTCGTTCCCTCGCATCTCTCTCCCCTACAGCCCATCCGGTCGCCATTTCAGCCGCTGGGCGGACACTTCGGCCGCAGTATGAAATGTGTGTGGAGCTCAAGTGACCACCTGCTTGGCGACGCCACCTGGCTAAACCGTTTGCATGCCAATCTGATGGGCACGCGCGGTAGAGACAAGAGCCTCGGTGTCAATTGGTACCCTGCTCGCTGAATTTGTCCACCCGGCAATACATAGTGTACATCATGTTCACGTAAATATACATGAACGTGAACCAGTCTGCTGGTCCGACGGTAGACAGCCTGGTGAGACGAATGCATGCGGAACGGTGGCAATGGGATGTGATACCGTTGGTATCATTTCGAGCCGCTTACAGGCGCTGATACGTTTTTGATCCATGAACACCTTGGTTGGCGAGCTCGTCGTCGGAGTGGAGAGGCACAGTGCCTCAAAGGCTCTCTATGTAGAAGTACGGTTTGCTCGGGAAGTGCCGCAAAACGGTCTTTTAGCCGTCAGTGACGGCCCGTCACGGTAGTCGCCGTTTGCTACCCTCCTGGAGCTTCCGGAGCCACGCTTTGCCACACTTTGGTACTGCCTCCATACTGACAAGCAAGGTGCCATCGGCTGCGTTGGAACGACGCTGCGTCCTTTGGTTACATGTTAGTTTAAGCGGGTTTAACGTAGTCGACGGCAGTGGGATCGGCGAGCTTTGGGAGTATCATCTCCCACTGGGAGATGATAGCGCTGAGCAAACACCGAGCGGATACCATCAGTTATTACTGTAATACAGTAGTTAAGTAATCCACCGTGGATGTAACGACGTAGGTCTTGCTATCCTAGGGCTCGGCGATTATTGTTCGCAGGCGTCGCTAGGCCAACACCACCAAAGCCCACATCGCAAACAACTCGTAGCGTGACCTCAGTGGATAGTTCAGGTCAAAGCAACAGACACTTGGGGCGCTGGTATATGTAACGATGTTGAAGTGGGCTAAAGACCGCTTGGCCTCTTGGAGCCTGTTAATACGCTCTGTGGCCTGCGTCACCAAGAACCCCATAGAGTTTTGCAGCTGCGTTCGTCTATCCTAGAGATGAAGAAGACGCGATGCCTTTGCGCTTCTTGCGGAGCTTTCTATTAATAACCCATCTTTACGGTTGCATGCGGGTTGGTGTTTGCTATTAAAAGCATGTTCATGCCCTCGCTGCTTCCATGAATCATTCGACGCCAGAGCTGCAAGAGTTGAAATGATCACCAGACCGATCGCTCGCACACAATACTGAAGCCCCTAATCAGTCGACCAAGACTTGCTCTACGTTTACAGTCGTGCATCAACAATCGTACGGTGACCTGCGTTGCTGCGGCAGTGGATACCGGAACAAGTTGTCATTCTTGAAGTCGTCGAGTCGCCTTGCACAAGACTCATGTCACGTGCTGCCATTGTCATGGCACGCGCATTGGAACGTCCTACGTCGATGCATAGGTCCATGACTCCACGAGAGTTGCAGTCGCTGAAGTGTCATGTCACTATATTACCGCATTCCAATGACATATCCTCGCTTGACACCAGTCATAACTCAAGAGTGCCATGGCGGACGCTGCGACCGACAGCAAGCGCCGTATCAAGAAGCTCACGACCGAGAAGCTGCAGCAATTCCGTGACGAGATCGTAAAGCGTAATGGGCAGCAAGTAGACCTCACGGGCCGCGGCATTGAGAGCATCGTGAGCTTCGAGGGACTACAGACCGCCACCAAGCTGGATCTGAGCCACAACAAGCTCTCAAAACTCTCACAGCTCAGATCCGTGCCACGTGTGACGATGCTCAAACTCACAGACAACAAACTGAACGGTGATGGTCTGGCTGAGATCCAGCACCTTAAGAAGCTCGTAATCCTCAACGCCGCTGAGAACCATGTGACGCGCATTCCGTTCGAAGTGTTGCGCAATGTTCGCACGCTTAAGGCGCTGGTACTCAACAACAACTCCATTTCAGCATTGGACTGGATGCCTAAGTTGCCGGAACTCAACTCGTTCATTGTGAGCAACAACCGCATCGCGCAGATCCCACAACGCGTGGTGGACGGACTCCCGAGCCTCAAGAAGATCTCCATGTACGAGTTTGTATTGACGTGTTGAGGCTGCTGAATCGTGGACTTACGTGTGTGCCTGATGGCGGATACAGCTCTCATAACCTATTGGAGGAGATCCCGAATTTGAGCCAATTATCGGAGATCACGGAGCTGCGTCTTTCGCACAACAAGTTAAAAAAGATCCCGACGCATTTGGCACAGCTGAGTAAGGAAAAGTGAACTTCTAAATATGCATTATTATTGTAGAGATCTAACTTTGTGGTGATGGGTTGCAGAGAATCTCAAAGTGTTGGAGTTGAGTCACAACCAGATTGACGATTGGTCTGGACTGGAGGCTCTGAGCTCGCTTGAGAATTTACGACAATTGAATTTGATCGGCAACCCCATATGCGGAAAGAAGCTGGAGGTCGCTCCGACGTCTGGCGAGGAGGAGGAAAGCAGTGGCAGTGAGAACGATGAAGAGGGCAGTGACGACATTGATAGTGATGACGATAAGAAGAAGAAACGCAAGTCGAAAAGCAAGAAGACCGACATTTCTGAGGACGAGAAGAAGCAGATTAAGGAGGCGAAGAAACTCGACGCCAAGCACAAGCAGTACAACTTCAAGATGAAGCGGCTGTTCCCGAACTTGGTTGTGCGTGATGCCGCTCGTGTGCTGGACAAGCGTGTGCATGGCTACGTTGCTCCACCTAAGGAGGAGAAGAAAGCGAAGGTCTCAGACAATAAGCAGAAGAAGCCTATCACGGGAAAACGTAAACGTGACGAGGATAAGAAGAAGAAAGCGAAAACCAAAGAGGAGTCTCAGAAGGCTGCACCTACTAACAGCGATGCAGACAAGGCACCTAAGAAAGAAAAGAAAGCTTCCAAGAAGCACAAGAGCGAGCAGCTCGATACGGAGGTTTCTGCCACCTCTGAACCTGAGAAAAAGAAGGCAAAACGTCATAAGAAGCAAGTGGAACCCAGCGAGTCGACACCCCTGGAGGTTGATCAGGCTGCGTCTGCATCTAAGAATGACGCGAAGGTGGAGAAGAAAGCTACGAAGGAGAAGAAACGAAAGGAGAAGCAGGACAAGAAGAAAAACAAGCGGCAGCCCAAGGAGATTGCAAGCGGTGTGGTGGCTGTGAAGCAGTTCAAGAAGGCCAAGAAAAGTAAAAGCACTGAGACCAAGCCCGTGGACTTAACGCAGATCAACTTTACACCTGACGTTGGCTTCGGAGGCTCCTCCGCGTGGGATTAGCTTCAACTTGCATTTGTGAATTGCACACCAAATAGATTTTTTTCTGCCGGCCGTGGATGATGTTACATTGAATTGAATGTGAGCGAGTACTGTAGCGAACATGCAAATTGACACTAAGGCTCTTCTCTCTAGCGCGCGTGCCCATCAAATTGGCGTCGCCTATACTGTAATACTTTAGTAGGCGCTCACTAATTGACCGCTTGCCATTTAGTGGGGTACTGACGATGCTCTTATAGCATAGTATGCGAAGGAAGCGCGGACGATGAGGGGGCGATGAGCGGACGGAAGAGGGAAAATCATATTAATAAAAAAATGCCTGTTCTTAACAATTGCAACGCTTGGACGATCACCTGGGAAATACTTATGGCTCATTCACGAGCATCTCGTAAATCTTCCCCACGATTTCTTTCAATCCTTCAAGGGATGGTATGGTATCGACGGTACGGAGAAATTTCTCATGCTTTCGGACCTTCACGTCTTCACTGAGCAAGAGCACAGTGAAGACGTGAAGGTCCGAAAGCATGAGTCCACTCGAAAAAATTGGTCACGATGATATACGCCACAGTAAGATCTTCGGCATCAGCCAGCGCTTCCAGCCCCGTCAAATTCTCAACCACCCCCTGCTGCATATCTTCACATTTGCTTCGACACTTGAAATTCTCTTGGTGCCACGCTTGAGCACGAGCTCGAATCGACCTTTCAGGAGCACGTTCCTTCCAACAACGTCTTCTTCGACAGGTATGCGGACGTCCCCGAGCAGACGACTGACTGTCTCAAGAATCGGGGCGATAAAAAAACAATCTCTTGGCTTCTTTCCCATCGGACAATCGTCCAAAGAGTTCCCGCAAGTCACGAATACGAGCGAGGAACAGCTCAATGTCGGCATCAGGTATATCGCTTGGTTGGAGGTCGTAAGAATCGTCGAGTTCGTAGATAGGTTTAAATGTCTTCCCAACAAAGACTCAAATAGCCCACAGACTTGTCGCTCTCGTGATTTTTCCGCTTTTTGTTTTTGTTCTTGGCGTCTTCAGTCGTCGTCTTCTGGTTCGCCTTTTGATTCTTCTGGCGCATCATTGCATTGATTGCAGCCCATCGTTTGAGACGTTCGGGGTGACGGTGTATGGTTCTTGGTGGTAAAGAGGGTATCACGACGATTGGAGCAGCAACTTGCGTTGGGAGTTCCACCAGCACGTGAATCTCTTTGTCTCCAGGCTGGAACTCTTTTTTGAAGTAATCATCGTCGTCGAGCTTCCAGTTGGGAATCACTCCACCGCATATTTACTATTTTCTTGTCGTCCTTGTTTCAAAAGAGGCTTGAGTAAGGGGTCGCTCTCGAGCCACTGTCCATTTTTCTTCTTCGCCATACAGCGTCACGAGTCGCGGCGGCACAGCGTGATGCTCGGTGCTCATGATGTCAGCATTGCTGACTCAGCAATAGCCTCCTGTAGCGCGCTCACTTTCGCATCGCCTGCGATCTTCACGGAAAACACATTTCCTTCGCCATACACCGCGCAATTCAGCTCCACCTCCGCCATCATTTTGCCAGAAAGTTCGAGACTTGAGAAACCCAAAACGAAGGGGCTTCTATTAGAAGCCCCTTCAAACCAATACTGTATGTCTCTACTTGATATTAAAAAACAAAGGGACGCACCTTACATTTACAAATGTTTCATAATACCGGAATGTGGTTGTCTAGGCTCCAATAAAAGGAAGTGGCTAGGATCACCAAGTTTTTGTCCATAAAACTTCCAAATACCGATCACTTACCTAACCGCGGTATTGTCAATATGTCGGTATTTCAAAAATCATATTTTTTATAAGCCGAGCGTCCAGCGCCGCTCATTCGTCTAGCACCCCCGCAAAGCAGGTCCCGCACAGTAGTTAACTTCTCCCCGCTGTCTACACGGGCTACACTACGCGCTCCGACCCCCCCCCACCACCGATATATCGTGCTACTCGTTTACTAGCTACACGCTACAGTACCCCAGTCCATACACGTGGCTTCCAGCTGCCATGTCGTCCCAGTCTTCGCCTTGGCCCAAACGACCGGCAACGCAGTTCCTGGGGGTAGAACGACTCTCGAGATCGCATTACCTACCTTCGAGGGCGAGTTTGAATCCTGGGAAGATTTTGGAGAGGCGTGTGACCGGTAAGATATTAGCTTCTTGTCATTTTACCATACTTTCTAATCAAAATATGCTCTGTAGATACCAAAAAGAGACCTTTCAGGTATAAATTGAGGACGAGTAATTCGGTGCGTGACCGGAATCGTGAAACTAAAAAGCGTGCTGCTAGACTTGGCAAAAAAACGAATTTGTTCGACGATACCCACAAGTATTACGCAAGAACGTTTATCTGTACACATGGGTGGAACTTCAAGCCGCGGGGCAGAGGTGATCGTACAAACCACACTGTCCGTGGAATTGGTTGCAAAGCGCGATTGAATGCCGTGCTGAACCGCGACGAAGGCGTCTACATTGTTCGAATCTCGAAGCACCAGTCGAGTCATAATCACAGCGTGGGCCCTGATGAGTACACCTGCTATGCGGAGACACACAAAATCGAATCACCAGGAATCAAGCGTGTTTTGAAGACAATGTGGCAAGGTAAAACTATCTGCTACTAATAATCATTTTGCTGAGGTATGTTCTAACTGTTAAAGTTTGGTAGGTGGTTCGAAGCGCAAAAAAATCTTGCGATACCTCAAAGAAGTGTCTGGCAAGCCGCTTCAACCGAAGGATGTCGAGAACATGATTGCCGAGATGCGTCGCGAGACGTACACGTCATCTGATGACAACGTTCGAGTGTTCGAGCTATTGCAGGACTTTGGAGAGGGACCGGGGAACGCAGTAAGAATTTTTCGGGATCCTGCAACTCTCACAAGCTGTATCACCTTCCAGACAGCGCACATGAGGAGGATGGCCAGGAAGTTTCCAGAGGCTCTATGTATTGACGCCACCCATGGAACTAACATTAACAGGTGCAAGATCGATGGCATCTATCTATAGTTCAATTTTGATGTTAAGATTACCAATGCTTGGTGAAATTATCACCAAACAATGAATACCTTTTTTTACTATGCTGACAGATACCGTCTCTTCAGTTTTATGATTACCGATAAACTTGGGAGTGGGTCGTTCGTGCAGCACGCTTTGATCGACGGAGAGACCAAGTTGAATATGAAGTGTGCGCGCCAAGCATTTAAGCAGAACAACACGGCATGGAGAGATGTCAAAGTGGTAGTTGTGGACAAAGATTTCACAGAAATCGACGTGCTAGCGGAGGAGTTGCCGGATGCTACTGTGATTCTTTGTCACTTCCACGTCATCGACTACTTGCATCGGGAGACCAGCAAGAGGGTCTACGGATTCACGTCGTTTGAAAAAACGCATGTGAAAAAACATGCGTTTTTGTATTACACTTATGGTACGGACGCATGACAAACGAGAATTCGACCACTACTTGCAAGGAATTCAAGCGCTTTGCAAAGATAAACCTGCGTTCTACGACTACCTGACGTCGAATTGGTTGAGCTGCAAGTCTTTGTGGTGTTCATTTCTACGCGGGAGAATCCCGCACTTGGATAACAGCACAAACAACCGGCTGGAAGCCAGTTGGGGTGCAGCCAAGGACATCCTTACACGTCACATGGCCATGGATGAATGCATAGACCACCTTCTCTTCCTACAACAAACTGCTGAAGACACGTACCGGTACAAGTCCAAACGCGTTGGATTCCGCTTTACCAAGCACTACGATGAGGATTTACAGACTTTAGCAAGGATTGCTACGCACCACGCCTGCAACCTAATTGAGAAGCAGTACAGGGCCAGCATGAAAGCTGATTACGAAGTTGATTCAGAAAGGCATCACCTGCTCTTGTCACATTAACAAGTAAGACGTCTTCCAGTCAATATGCGGTAAGTGAATATTTGCCCTCCTTAATATTTATACTGATGTGACACTGTATATTGCTGTTTTGCTTAGGTGAGTTTGAAGAATAGCACCTGCAGTTGCATGTTCTACCAAACACTTCTTCTTCCATGCAGACACATCATGTACTTGCGTCGTGAAGACGACTCTTTTCGGCATACCATTCCATTTGACGCCATTCCAGAGCGATGGGCAAAAAGTGAAGACTGTAGTGGAAGCGATGATCCTGGAAGTTTTTCGACAGATGGTGTGAGAAGTGTTGATGCTGACGTTGGCCATCACAAGCGGGCATTGAGTCATAACGAGAAATATCGGGCGATCCTCTCGATTTGCCAGCGAATCGCTGAGTGCGTCGCAGATAAAGGGAAAAGGGACTTTCGCACGTGGAGCGAGCACTTAACAGATCTGGAACGTATGGCTAGAGAAAACAACCAACCTCCCACGCTGAACAAGTCCGACAGTGAAGTTTCTCAAGGTAACAAAGGCGATATTGGTGAAAATAGCGAAAGGATTGGTGAAATTGGTGAAGCTGTCTTAGCTGGTGCAGAATCCACCAAGAGGGTTTGTGAGATCGACACCAAACGACCTGTCGAAGCTACCCCAGAAAGTAATGCGTCTCCGGCTTCCATTAATAGTGGAGATTTGGGAATGCTTGTTTGAACAAGTGCTGGTCAATGACATCAAGAAAAAGAAAGTGGATTCAACAGCCTCAGCCAAACGGAGGTTGGACATGGAGGGCTCGATCCAAGACGAAAAGGAACCAAAAGCAGCAAAGGTCAAAGGAGGGAAAAGGGCAACTCTTGTGCGTCTGAATCCAGCTAGTCGAGCTTCGGGCAGACCCAAGCAGAAAGCAAAATTCAAGAAGGCAAAGAAGGCGAAAGAAATTGAGGAAACAATGCTATTTGTGAATAACCTTGTCTCTTATGGGGATATTACCTTGGAGTCTTTCGAAGAGGCGGTCAAGACCAAAGAACTCTCGGTTGCTGGTATTGGGGATACGACGCGTGCCATCCGACCTATGTTCGAGTCGGCAGGTTTTAAGCGACCCAAAGCTTTCTTGATCGCCGAGAAGCCCACGCAAGTTGTAGAGACAGGTGTCCGCTTTGTTTTACCAGGTA